TAACACGGCGAGGTGCCGCGTTCCGGCTGCCGAGTCAACAACCATCCCACACGTGGATCCGTCGCTCCAACTGCAGCTACGCAGCGGTAATGCCCGCATCGCCATTCATCGCAGCCGGCCAATGCACGCAGCCACGTCCATCTACGAGAAAACGATTCGACAAAATGAAACTAAACTAAATATTTGTTTTTTTAAACCAGGTAAGGCCCACTGAGCTGTATAGATTTTTTCTAGAAGCGACCTGGCTATCACAAATGATAGCTGAACGAAGTGGCTTATCATCACGTGGAAGTTTACGACAAATACTCTATACGCATGTTTCGAAAATGCGGAGGGAAAAACCAGAGAAAAATCCACGCAGGCGTCAGGGTCGGGATCAAACTGACGACCTCCTGTATACCAGGCGAGGTGGTTAACATCTCGGCACCGTAACACGGAGGGTGTCGAACACGTTCCGCGAGACCGCATTAGCGGGAACGCTGGCGAGCGCGGAGGAGCAGATAAACAAATCGACAGGGCGTCGTTCGTCGACGCACGGCGTGGACAGCTCAGTGCCGCTAACAATGTCAAAGCGGGGACGGCGCGTGGCACGACCCGTCGCGTCGCCCAGGGACTCGCGCGCACCGCCCATTGTCCACAAGAGAAAGCTGTCGTGTGCCCGCCACTCGATTACCGAGCCATAGCGCACATTGTCCTTCCTTCACCCGAATGCTCTCCCCAGAAATCTCATACGAATGAGATCCCCCTGGGAATTTTTTAAAATAAAATATAACTAGAGGGATGAAAGGAGCAGAGTTCGATAGCCGGGCGTGGCTAACACCCGTGGCGAGCATTATATCTGAACCGGTCCTAGACATACCCCTACCTGCCCCCCCCCCCCATTTTCATGAACCCACACTGACTGCGTGGTGAAGGATGGTCTTTGTAAGCGGGTGACATGGAGTGGGGAGGCCATCATCCTGCAGGGGCTTCATCAAGAGATCTTTATGATCAAGCTTCTTCAGTTTTTTTTTTATAATATTTTATTGCTGCTACAAACTAATTTCAGTTTCTGTTAATCAGACACGTTAATGTTTTTTTCTGAGGCGATGGCTCTTTTGTTTCCATGACAACCACTGGGAAAGTCAAGGCAACCTGGGTAATGAAATTTAACACCTGGAATAATCTCGGGTGTCGCGTCTCCGTAGCTGTTATGCACTTGTTGTGTGCGTGTGTTTTATTGTCGTGCAGTGACTTAAATGCATACCATTAACGCCAAACAGCGATGGGTTATAACAATTATAATTCCCATTAAACAAAGCAAGGGGCTGAACGTCACTGGCTCATCAATTAATGGACAGACTTGCTGATGTGTTTGAGGGGCAACCGAGCGGGGGAAAGAGGATTCTACAACATGCGAGTCAGCTCACGGTTGCGTTCGTTGCCTCTAAGTTGCGGTTCACAAATCCTCGTTGAGCCAGCGCAGGGCCCCGTGGTACGGGTTGTTTTCCACTGCCTATCTGCAGTGCCGAGCCAGAACCAGAGCCGTGCTCCGCCGGCATCGCGGTGCAGATACTGGGCTCCGTACCACCCGGTTACTCGATTATTTACGTATTTATTTTTAGCGATTGCTTTCCTTCCCAATACTTTCGCGCTCTGATCGTGTTTTTGCATTGTTTGTTGTTGTAAACTTTCTGACCTGCCCCGAATGGACACCTGTGGAAAAAAAAAACTCCAAAAGCTCATTGGATTTCTCCAGAATAAATAAAGATTGCGATTGCTGTAAAAATTGCTATCTTGGCTGGCCGTATGATACGCCAACGTCCATCTGTCGCAATAACGGCCGAGTGCTTAACGTATCGTGTTCCCGCGTACTAACCCACGCCCCTCTCCATGTCTAGAGTTGAGTGATACATTTGACGACGCCGCTTTTAGAATCCGTATTGGAGTCGCGTATCACTTTAGCGTTCGCGTTCGCCATCCGAGACCACTCAAGAGCCGCCATGATGTAACGAGAAATGGTTCTCTCATTTCAGAGTGCGGTGCGCCATGGAATAAGCAAGTTGCAAGGTGGAAAACTGAAATTGTAATGTTTAGCGTTTCCGTCAATCTGGAGGTGATCTGCCCGATCTGATTAAAGCATTTAGTTTCACAATCTTTTCTGTTCTTCATGCGATACAGTTGTTTTGTTCCAATTTCTTTTAACACTTCGTTGCTGTATTTTATTTTATTTGTTTTGCTTTTGTTACGTTGGTGGCCCAGGTCACGTTGGCAAATGGGAGTCATCCTGGTCTCTTCGAGTTCCCACCGCCTGGTTCAACAAAATGAGGTTGTGAAACTTTTAAAAACACTCAAATAAGGAATTGGCCAAACATTCTAGGAATTATTCTCCCATAAAAGGAGCCCTGGGGCCGCAGTGACTTTCCCGAAAGTATTATTGTGAATTACTTAAACATTCGCGATGACAATATATTCAAGTTGCAACTGGTTAGCTCAGTTGAGTCAAAATAATGAGAGGTAATGTATTTTTCCCCGTACACGCGAATCACGTGTTAATTTAGAACACTTTACTGTGCTTTATTTCAGAATGTGCTAAGAATATGTTAAAAACTGCATCGAGTGAAATTGTCAAAAAAGTAGTCAAAGAACCTCACTTTAGCCTTCAACAAACTGTTGGGCCAAGTGCTGTTAGCGAGCACCTATGAAGGCTGGCACGGGGAGTGGGTGGCCAGCACCAGGCCCGGCCAGTGCTGATGATTCACACACTGCACCAGGTACGCATTTCAGGCCGAGTCGACCTAGGGGCGGCCCAGGACCTGACCAAATACCACTCATCACCGATGCTAGCCATGACCAGGAATCTATCTCAGCTTGTTGGGTTTGCAAAGCGAGCGATGCGCCAACTGCTGCGCCACCGCCCCCTGCACACAAGCGCGTGAGACCACGCGCCCAGCTGTCGAAGCCAAGCGGTGAAGCAGAGCGGAAGGTATTAATCTGGACACAGCGCAGAGAGAGAGAGAGAGGGGGCAGCTGTAGAGGGAGACGGGGCAGCGGCAGCCAAATAGCACGCAGATGTCAAAAGAACGAGCGGGGATCAGTGCGGTAGACGCGCACTTGTCAAGATCCTGCGATTTAAAGCCACGCGTACGTGGACAGAACAATTATTTTACAGACATGCAAGAAACCTACTTTCTGTACTGCCCCTGTATGTGGTTGCCTCGTCCACGTGGTATTAAATACATCATATGCATTTTTGCTAATATTATGTCCAAGCTCCAGTCCTTTGGATATGAAAAGATTTTCAGCTCATGAATCAGTGTTTATACATGCGGGAGAAAACCTGCACGTGCGAGGGGGCAACACTTTATCCCATACAGAAGGGACAGATGATGGTATTCCCCACTTTGTTTTACTGCCTTCTCCCAGCAACTCAGGTTACGCACACCTTGACATCCATAGGAAGGGAGTCTCACACCACTTGTGACGATTCACCAACACTCGTTTTCTCCACAGTGCTGGATTACAGGCCACGTGCATAGACACTACCGCCCGGCAACCACAAGTTCAACAGCCCAGTTCAATCACGTGCGGCTGTTGTTGTTGTTTAAACACTGCGTGCACATATGCGGGCACTAAGTATAAAATACGAATGTGCAACGACAATTTGCACCGATTGATATCCTGGTGCGAAAAAAAAAAGTTGCGCTTTTAGTTTAACAGCGAGAGACTCGGCGCGCGTGTGCGCGTGCTGCCCAGCCTGCAGGCGCAGCTCGGCACACCGAGCGCTGCACACCGAGCTCGGCACACCGAGTGCGGCACACCAAGCGCTGCACACCGAGGGCTGCACACCGAGCGCGGCACACCGAGCTCGGCACACCGAGCGCGGCACACCGAGCGCTGCACACCGAGCGCGGCACACCGAGCGCGGCACACCAAGCGCTGCACACCGAGGGCTGCACACCGAGCGCCGCCCACTCGTCCTCGACACCGACGGGCTGCCGCGGCGCTACTCCGGCACACAGCCGGCATGCGGGGGGGCGGGGGCGGCAATTTCAAGAAATCAAACGAACAGGAGACAAGCACCCATCATCCCAGCCAAAAGAGCCCAATGCTTTTAGGAGGCCCCGCAAAAAAAATTCTCAGATTACACCCCCATGCAGCCACCATTCACAGGAGTGCTCCTCGCCTTGTTATATTTCAGCTTTATTTCACTTGACGCAATTTTCCTTTGACCTTTTTTCGTGTCGTTCCTCCTCCCTTGCTGCAGGAGTGCTTTTGATCGTGCAGCTCTTTTGGTGACAAAAAAATAATAAGCTGCTCGGGGCTTTCAAGACCGCAGCGGCGTGGCCGCGATGATTGAATGAGCGCGGCGTCACGATGCGCTCACGGCTTTGGTGGCCGCGTGGCCGAGTCGCAGAGCGTGCCGTCGGCGTGCGCGCGCCTCGGCTCGCTCGTGGCGCGGTGGTCAGCGCACTGCGCCACCGAACCAGGCGTGGTCAGTGGCGAGCGACATACAAACCCGTACTTGGGCCTCCCGGAGGTCGGTTCAGCCGTAAATGAGTACCTCGTGCGGTGCGTAAAAACAGCTGCACTGGGGAGCAAAAGGCAGCCAGGGGAGGCTGTGGCCAAACCGTCCAATCTATGTTCTGTCGTGTGGTGGTGGTGGTGTAAAGCCGTGGTATAAAATATTAGTGAGTGGTAGTGTAGAGTAGTGGTGTAGAATGGTGTTGTAGAGTGTTGAGCATAGGGGAAACTGAGAGGCTCTGCCATGCGCATTCGTGGTCGGGCCGTGCGTTGCCCGGCACGACGCCCGACGCTGCACACCACGCGCTGGGGAGGTTCATCAGGAACCGAATCGACATCGAGCTCCCGTCGCGTGGAGCGAAACACGTCGGGACATCGTGCGAAGAAAACAACACACGGTACGATCCCGACACGCGTCGGAGCGCCATGCGCGCACAACCACAAAAAAACCCACGCGCGCTCGCAAAACGTTGGGCAGAGCGTTGGGATGCGCGTACCGTTGAGCAGATTCTCGGCCGTCACCAACGCCTGCACCTCCACCGAGTGCTTCGAAGTGTAGGTGATGTGCGTCGCCACGTGCGCCACCTCCCCGATCAGGATGGGCGACAGGAAGTCCGTGCGCTCCACACGTGCCAACGCCGCCACGCAGTTCTCGTGCTGGCAAAGACGGGCACGGGCAGAGTCGTGATCGTTACTTCCGCAACTCGGCAGTTACCGTCGACGCGTTTGCCTGCGTCACCGTCGCCTTCGCGATCGTCTCGACATCATCAGCGCCATGACCAATAATCATTTACCTTTGCAGTGACCGGCGTAATCGCCGTCATCTGTGCCGCTATCACAATCATCATCGTCATCATCCGTGACCTGCCGCCCACTCTCAGCAATCATCTCAGTCGTCATCATAGTAACAACACCTTCATTCCTCATCATCACCACCTTCATTCCTGTCATTTGTTACCTACATCTTCATCACTGTCATTGCAATCATCGTCACTACCAGAACACATCATCACCATCGTTATCTTAAATTTCGATTTAAAGCTTTCGTGACTGCAGGGATTCATCTTCTTGATTCTTTCGGTAAAGTCACGTAGAATGGAAACAATAATAATAATAAAATAAAACATAATAAAATAATCCTCACGACGTTTCGGCCACAATGCAAGCAGCCGTCATCAGGTGAAGACCAGGTCTGTCGGGGAGACAGCACCATTCAGACGCTGTCTCCCCGACAGACCTGGTCTTCACCTGATGACGGCTGCTTGCGTTGTGGCCGAAACGTCGTGAGAATTATTTTATTATGTTTTATTTTATTATTTCCATTCTACGTGACTTTACCGAAAGAACCAAGAAGATCGTTATCTTAGTTATCGTGAACACATTGCGAACGCTTTGTCATCGTGAACACGTCACCCATTACCTGTAATTTAAAATTGAAAGTGGCTGGAAACTAAGCATGTTTAAAATAGATGCATACTCTTTGGTTCTTTCGGCAAAGACACGTAGGTAGAAAAAAGAATAAATCACGACGTTTCGATCGCAACACAAGCAACGATCGAAACGTCGTGATTTATTATATTTTCTACCTACGTGACTTACCGAAAGAACCAAAGATTAGGGGTTCCTGCAGTCACGAAAGCTTCAAATAAAAATAGATGCATACGTTAATTAGCATAGCAAAGGCTAAATTAATTGCAATAGCATATACCATTTCATAAATGCTACTCGATTATTCAATTACCCTTGACAATTAATTTGTAACAACACACACACACGGACGCGAGTAAAGCGGCATTTTTAATTGTATTCACCATTTTATTCCATTACGTTATGCTCATTAGGACTGCACTTTCGTTCACAATTGCCAATTAATCTAATCAGTCTCCATCGAGGCACCGTCAGCTCCGGCGTGAACGCTAGCACCCAGCGTGCGCGCCGCTGTGCCGTGGCGAGCCACCGACAATCGATACTCAGGACCCGGTTGGTCAACCCCACCCCCACCCCTAACCTGGCCCTAACCTTAGCGATCGGGACTCCACCATTCCCTCCCAGGTAAATCCATTGGCCAAAACGCGAGTGGCAATAATTCACAGGATGGAAGGTTCCCGTTAGGTCGTTTGCACTCCAGACAAGGACGGCTCGCGCAGCTCACATTATGCTGCTCGGCCGATGTACACGGAGCTCGCGGTACGCGATTTAGATATATGACGGGGGGGAAGGGGGGGCATTAAAAGTCCTGTGCGTGGAAGAGCATCATTATCCGTTGGCAATCGTTCTCTTTTTAATGCAGCGTCTCAAGTGAGCCCCCGCTTGGCTAACTCGAGTGGCGTTCAGGTTAATTCGATCCCTAATCCGATTCTAGTTAAACCGTCACAACCGTTGTAACAAAACTCAGCATAATACATTATAACCAGCCAATGTCACACTTCGTTGATGAAGATTACATCGTGACTCTAACAATTAATTGAGTAATTCTAATAATAGGCTAATTGTTAATTTAAACTAATAGAATGCACGGAATCGAATAACCAAACCTGAACATGTGGGACGGACGATACAAACGAGACAAAAAAAAAGAATAGATTTTTTAAATAAAAACCGTTACCACCAATTCATCAGTGCTATGAGCAGACCGAATCTGTACGTGCCTACATCATAACAATAAAGCCACGGCAACACGAGGATGCGGTTCTCTTTTCAATCTGTGTCGACACCTAGCGGCAGAAGGAAACGCTGCAAGAACAACACTCCACGTCCAAGTGGCCGCGACCTTCAAGTTGCATTCTTCGCCGTCTTACAGCGGAATGTTAATGCCTCCTCCTTCAACAAACCCCCAGTTTCGTCTGCCCATTAAATGCAAATCCTTTGTTCTGTCACATCAATCAATCTTTGGCATTTTTGTTTTAGGCCTGTTTGCTTTCTAGTTCCACTGCAGTCTTTCATCAACCTCCCCAAAAAGTGTTTTTTCTTTAACTATCAGTCGTACATTTATTTCTTTAAAGAATGCTTTCAGACTTGAATTATCATTGAAAACAGGTGAAGGTCAAGAGGTCACCATTAGCCGATGCCTCGGATGCCAACCACACCACCAACTCGCCCATCGCTACCTGCTGCCCGATCCCTCAGCCGTTGCCGAGGGCGCCACGGTGGCGAGATGTTATCTCCCTCGCCTGGTATGCAGGAGGTCGTGGGTTCTATCCTGACTGATGCCTGAACATTTGGAATTTGCATGTCCATCTCCCGGCGGTCGGGTGGATTTTTCTCCGGGTCCTCCGGTTTGTCCCTCCACGTTTAGAAACGACGTCGCGCGTTTAGAGTATTTGCCTGCTGTACATTTCCATGCAAAGAGCCATTTCGTACAGCTGCTATCATTCGTGATGGCCAGGTCGTTTCTGGAAAAAAGCTACATAGCTCAGTGGGGACTTACCTGGGTAAAATGAAAAATTGCTCATCGTTTAGTTTTTAGTATAGTTGCACGTCGCTAACCTGGGCGAGGGGGGTTTGAGCTCGTGTGCTGAGTGGTGGTGGTGGTAGGTGGCTGGTAAGAGCACTGGGGAAGAGCAGCGGTCCTCTCCCAGTGTGTGTGGGAACCAAGCTGTGAACAACTCTCCCCTCTCCACTCACAGCCTGCTGTAGGAATTCGAGACATTTATTTGATTCAGAAATAAACATCACCGGTTTCTTCTCACCTGTACAACTTCAACGCGCACTTCCATGAGTTCTGCCTAGCGTGTGCAGTGTTGTTGCTCCATTAACCTCAGATGCAACGACAGCATCGAGTTTGCACTGAACGTGCACAAACTATAAGCAATCAACCTCTCACGCGCAACGATTACTTACATGCATGCATCGTAATTGCAGGAATACATTTTAATCAATGGATTGGCTGTGCGGTGAACCTGACGGCCTGAGTTCGAGTCCCACGCCCTCCGGGTAACAGCGAACATTACCAGTGATATCTGAACCAGGTCCTGGGTCTCCCCCGTCTCTCACTAACAACCCACACTGACCGGGATAGTGAAGTATGGTCAAGACAACCGACGTGACCAAAGATTAGGTGGCCATTAACAGTTAATCCAGCTCACGTGCGATTTGACAATTCATACGATGCACTTTTAAATCTGTCCTTCCCCCGCCCGTCCGATTAGCACGGTTGGCTACGTACAGTGATAAGTTCAACATACATATGTACTAAATTGTTCGTGCAGATTGTGAGTTTAATCTAGTAGAGTGTATGTATTATACACAGTACTTATATGGCACTCATGATGGAGTAGCAGCCAAGGAATAGAATACACCCGAGAATGCATCTACCAGGGAGATGGAGCGATGAAATCAGTTCGTGTGCACGTTCTCGGTGGAACATTAAGAGGGATGGCAGCGCCTTGGGGGAGGCCTTCATCCAGCAGTGGATAGACTAACGACTGTAAAGTCATTAAAGTGAGAAATGGCGATGCTATCTTCACAACCAAAGGACCCAGTATCCTGCTGTAGTGCCATCTCCTGGGCATCTCACAGGGAGAAAAGCCTACACAAGCATTGCATTCTCAGGTAGTCTTTGCGACAGTTTGATAGAACCGAGTAGGAAATTAGAGTCATCTGGAGAAAACCCACGCAGACGAGAGGATAAGTCTCAGGGGTGCGCACAGACTCACGAAGCACATTGATGATGTGCTGTCCTCTGCTGGCCGTGTCGCAGCATAGCGGCTTTGGGGGGGGGGGGGGGGGGGGGAGTGTTACAGGGCTCTCTGCGAGGGCGCAAACCCCTTGTGTCTGCCCAAGCGCCGGATTTACCGGCACGCACTACCGGGGGCGGCCACGCCAATGTGTAAATTTGATCGCGGCAAGTGCTAATTGAATGCATAGTGAGCGACGGCCTTTAATTTACACCGCCGTCTTCACGGTATTAGTCAAGCAGCTGTTTCATTAAATGCATCACTTCCCGTACGAGGGTGCACCAGGAAAGTGGATCTGTAATGTTTACACATCGAAACTTGAGAAAACAACTTTAAAGTTTCGCATACGAATTATGTCCAGGATTGCTGGCCCAGTGGTTAGCGCCCGATGCTCTGAACATGAGTTTGTTTCATGACCACGGCTAATTGTGCACGACTCGCATCAAGGCTGGTGTGATGCATCATGTCACATTGTACTGCGAGCTACATTTCCATTGTACATAGTTCTGGTTGTTTATCATCCATGTCGTGTATAAAATAGAACCGATACTGTTCCATGCAACCCCTGAAAACCCTCCCACCTCCCATGTAATGTGCTCGCTACCGTAGTATCAGCTGTTTTGGGCGGGTTGCCATGGATAGAGAGGCTTCTTAGCTCAATGGACCTTCTCGGAAAGTAACTGACTGTTAACATCAGTGCCGAGCGATGTCTAAACTGGTCCTGGGCTTGCCCACTGGCCAAACCACACTGACGAACAGGGTGAAGTATGGTCAAACAACTCCCATGATTGACATGGAATGGGAATAGTAATAGGTTTTTACCCTTTCAACTGGTACAAAAACTGACACCTTTATACAAGGCATCATGTTTGCAATAACCACAACACAAGCAGTCAAAAGTCCAACACCAATGAAGGCTAGGCTCTAAGAAAAGCTGTCTCGGGTGTGGACCAATCAACTTCAAGGACAGTGCATATCATTATCATCATCGGAGTTGTTTCTTTTTGTTTGCATTTTGACTGCTTGTGTTGTGGTTATTGCAAACATGATGCCTTGTATAAAGGTGTCAGTTTTTGTACCAGTTGAAAGGGTACAAACCTATTACTATATTTTGCCACTGGTAAAGGAGGTCTCATAGTATGGAATGGGAATACCTTAATCTAGCAATGGATTGAAACTATACAATTTTTGACCAGACATTTAGATAACACTTTGGTTACTATGTTATGTAAAAGTGCACAGCATTCAGATGCCACTCGTGTCTGTACAAGTGGGAATTTGGCACCAAATGATGAATTGTGAGATACGAGACACTGGAATGTTCATGCGCGCATGAGCAGTCTTATACACACTCCATCAACTCACTTTCAGAGATGGAATATAACAAGCTTGCACTTTTACATCAGATAAAAATAAATACCTGCCCAAGTGTTTTAATGGACTCGTGCCAGGTTGAAAAATGTACAATGTGAGTGCAATCGTCCAAACAGCTTCACTGCCTGAGATGAAAAATTGGCAAGCAGTGCATCACGTTGTGTCTGGGAATTGATTTTTGAAAGATGACGTCCCAGTACAAATCTCCTGTCCACAAAAAGCAGTGGACACGTTTATTTAATATGGATGGTAAAGCATCAGTTAGTGCTCAGAATATGTTAAATTAAGGGAATCGCGAAATTTATAAAAAATGTTTTTTTGTGTGCAGTCATGGGTGACTGGGAAAAGACCATCATTTCGTTCCATCCCAAGAGCCTGCTTTAATCACGCGCGACTGAAGCCAGATTTGAACTCAGGATCTCAGCAGTGTCGGATTAGTGCTCTGATACGTGAAATTATAGGAATTCCAAAATGCATCACAAAAGTTTTCCTGTGCAGTCATTGGTGAATGGGCAGAAACCATAACTTTGTTCCATCCCTAGAGCCTGCTTTAAGCACGGGCGACTGAAGCAAGATTTGAACTCAGGATCTCAGCAGTGCCGGCTCTGCGCTCTGACAGGCTATTACCAAGCCTTCTGAACCACCTTGTTAAGCTATCACCAAACTTATAGACCTTTTCCAATCCACTGCGGAATTACGACATCCCCATGCCCTATCGATCACGGAGGTTGCTTGACCGTACGTCACCTCACCACGCTGGTCGGGGCGAGTTGGTTAAGGGGATGCGTGCCCAGGACGTGTTCAGATATCCCTCGCCAGTGGCGTTAGCCGTGGCCGTTACGCGAACGCAGGTATCCAGGTCTGCAGCGTAGCGCGCCGACGACTGTGAAACCGCTCCACCCTCTCTGAGCTACGCAGGTGATTAAATGCTCTTGGCCCCTGTAGGAGTTCACGGGCTGCATCGCTGTAGCCGCCTCGCAGCCAAGGTGCGCCTGCTGGCCACCTGTGCACGGCGTACCTGCGGCTTGCTGTTGCAGTGCTGTGTGCTGATGATGACGCCGGCCTCCTCTATCATGCGCAGGATGGTTCCGCCATGGACGGTCCCTGCAATGTTTGCATCATCCGGACGCATTATCCTGGAAGGAAAAAAAAAACATAGTTGACTCACTTGGTGACGAATATTTCGTATCTCTAGAAGTTGTTGCATCGCAGGAACCCGAGGGATGGAAATTGCTTGGGGAGGGGCCTTCATCCAGAAGCGGATTTATCACGAATCATGATGACAATGCTCATAATCTGCGGGTGCAGTGGCTTTGAGGATTCAGTGCTTTTGAAGCAAGGGTTGGCAGTAAATAACGGTTTATCAAATGTTGAAATGTATTATGGCCTTGAGGAGCACAATTACACTTTGACACCCTTTCTTCGCAACACTCGAAGAAACCAGCAATGTCGTGGATGCTCTCGGTGAAATGTATCAAACATTGAAAGTTGGGAGTATTGTTTCTATGTATCCCAGTGTTCCTGTGCTTGATCACCACGACAAAGACACCATGACTCAAACGACACCACGACTTGGAAGCAGGTGGGAGCGGTGTGTGCAAGTGGTCACCTATCCAGTCTGCAATGCCCCTGGGGCTAAAGACATCATGCGGGATGATTTAAGAGCTCAGCCTGTTCAAGGTGTGGAGCTAGAATGTGCCTCCCACACAGGACTCCCTTAAGGTCACAATACACTCGGGAAACTGCAAGGCAATCACTTACGCTAACTGTTGCGGGCAAAGTGTTTGCCATTTAGCGACTGCGGCTATTTGGTATGACAATGGAATGAAGTGACAAGATTTAATTCTAGCGAAAAAGAACAGAGTTGGTTTAAAAATGCACTTGGTGGACAATGATTGGTCTAGAGAGCTCACAACCTTGAGTTGTCATATGACCTCCCCCTATGATTTGAAGCCTCCATCGAGATTACCCAACAAGGAGCAGAGTGATCAGATTTGTCCAGAATTGGGCAAGTATTACCTTTAACAACAGACCACGGAATGTCCGGTGACAAATGCCACATGATCGAAAGAGCGCGTCGTGCCATTTGCCGAGTAGACAGAGTTCATACCTGGACACGTGGACTGGCATCTTTCTCGGGACGGTTCTTTGACAGATGTTCACTTGAGCGAAGACGCTGATCTGTCGGCTGAGACAAGTCCGTTGCAGCAACCGCGTGACAATTCGAACCCTGCAATGAGAGCGAGACACACCGGAACGCTCAAGTAACGTAATTTCTGACGAACACCAAGCCGGCAGAAGCTGATCTGCATGCAGCGTTGGGATGGCACCCCACATAAAATTAGCAATATAAACAAAGCATCTTGTGAGTCTTAATCTATGGCAGGCAGAACAACTCAGAAATAATCGATATATTGCCATCTGGCCCCATGAGATTAAGGTGAGACTAACACCGCAATGTCATTGTCCGACTTAACAGAATGCCACCGATTGCCCACCCGCTGCAAAGGATTCAGAGGAAAGGGCGCAAGTCATTCCATGTCTGGCCCACAATGAGAGAGTCACAGTTCCAAGGGCACTTGCATTGGGGGCAGCTTCCTCCCCAATCACCGCCTCCACTCCCCCAGCCCCTCCCCACGCCCTGCCCAGGCATGCTTGCTTGTGTTGCAGTAAGCAACACGAGAAAGCATCCTGTGTTGGCATCAAATAAATGCATTCAACAGGTGTCACATTGTTCATCTCACTACATTCTCTTTAACCGAGATGGGAGCGATTGCAATAGGCCCATGTGTGCATGCGCCAAGTGGATTATCACATCGTAGCATCGTGAGAGGTCGTGGCGGTTTGGGGAGTCCTTCATCCAGCAGTGGATTGATCATGGCTGATGATGATGATGATTATTACGACCGTCCGTATATGAAAGTAGTCACTGTGTAATAGGAATTGCCAAAGCCATTTAATTAATAATACGTACTACATATTATTTAAATGTGTAGTACATTATTTAAATGTGTAGAACGTATTATTAATTAATACATTTGTGGGAGGATCAGGTGTGGCGGTCGCGGACTCCAAGATACAGTTTTCTACTCCTCTAAAGAGCCTCGGCATCACACTCGACCAGAACATGTCATTTGATCACCATGTGCAAAATCTAGTCAGGTCCTGCAATTTTTATATCAGGACTCCAGGACATATTCGACCACGATCGAGTCGTGATATAGCCAACATGGTGGCGTGTAGCATATTATTGACAAGGCTCGATATTGCAACTCACTACTCTATGGGACATCTGGGAAAACATTACCAAGCTGCAGCGTGTACAAAATTCTATGGCACGCGTCGTGAAGGGCACTGCAAGATCCGACCGTGTCCATCCGGTGCTCGCCGAACTGTATCGGCTTCCGGTTGCCGAACGAACATAAAATATGAGGTCGCACTCATTTACACACACACAAGGTGCTTGCCACCAATGAACCACAATACCTTGCTGATCTCGTCAAGGAGCCCAAACCATCATGCAAACTCCGGTCACCCTTGTAGCAGCAGCAGCTTTCGAACAGACGGTCACCGCAGCGATAATAGGAAGCCACTGGAGATATGCACTTTTAAATCATCTAGATTTAAAACCGATTTCTTTATAACTGCTATTTGCGTTTAGTTTGTCCTTCCCCCGCACCTCCGATTAGCACGGTTGGCTACGTGCGAAGCGAAAGAAGTTTAACATACATAAAGCAACTGAGTGTATGAAACAAATAAGTGAATGTGCTGCTCCTTGGACAGTGTGTGTGCAATGTACACTGTTATCTTTACAAGCCTCAGGTGTTTATTCTTTGATTTAAAAAACACTCGTTTACTGCATGCGATTTGGCAACTACGTTCTGTCTGCGAGTGACAGTCAGTAAACAAACACGTGCTTCCAAAAGCTCGATCGAGGAAACAATTGTCTGCTTGCCTCTGATCCCGAGACGCTGCTGTGGCAAAGCCTATGCTGTGTAATGTTTAATATAATGTATAAGGTAATATATAGTATCGTAATTGTATAGTGAATATACAGCAGTGTGGTATACAGTAGGGTGGGTAAAATAATACAGTGTAATATTACAATGTATAGTCTATAGTAATGCAGTATATAATTTAATGTTGGGTTTGTCTATGGCAGTACGGGGTAGATCAGTGTGATGTAAGGAAAAAGTTTAGCTGGAGGCATATTATATTTTTTGCGACAGAATTGTAATGTATGACTTACTGTTAGTAGCTCAGCTTATTGGAGAGTATATTTAGTATATTAATGATATTGATGTAGTTTATATTTTAATTTTTTACGTGGTGGTTTGGCTGCTGCAGCTCCTTACTATTAAAATGCATTCCCTTCATTACTGATAACCCTACCTCCTCCCTTTATTGGCATAGTATGACTTTGAGACCCCACCCCACCTCCTACGCATTCCACAAGTAGTGACTAATCCCATATTTGCATTTCCCATAAATATGCAAAATTCCTGTTGATATGCAAATTCCTTTGTCAAGGCGCCATTCCACCCCTAACCCAGCTTAAATATACGCTGCCAAGCTTGGTGGTGTTCATTCAGACGCTGTCTTTCCGACAGACCTGTTCTTCCCCTGAGGACGGCTGCTTGCGTTGTGGCCGAAACGTCGTGAGAATTGTATTTTATTATGTTTTATTTTTATTATTTTATTATTTCCCTTCTACGTGACTTTACCGAAAGAACCAAGAAAATGAATCTATGCAGTCACGAAAGCTTTAAATCGAAAAATAAAGCCTATGCTGTTCTTCGTTAACACCGCAAGCAGCCGCTGTTGACTCTATACCAGTGGTTCTTCTTAGCCTGGGATGCACGCACCCCCTGGGAGTGCGAGATGCCCTTTCTGGGGATGCGAGACATGCCAGATATTTTTTAGAAGGTAAATCATCGGAAACACAAATGAAGCATGGGCACGTCAGTACAACTACTTTGTTTCATCGAGCCCCAATGTATTCGTTCCCGTTCTGACCACGTGTCGTTCGTCTCCACCCCTATTTAATACCCGGGTCACGTGGTACGTTTCCACCAATCCTGTTAAGCCTCCATGGAATATTCCAGGCTCCCTCGTAGGCTCCCGGGACCACGCCCCTGACTCATCTCCCCATTGGCTGTGGCCAAAGCCAGCAGAACCAATCCTCTACTTACAGCTGTCACCTTTCCATTACGTCAGGGCCACGCCCCTAGGCTTCCCCCCATTGGCTATAAACCAGGACCGGCATAGCCAATCATCATGACGAGTTGTGATACGTCAGTGAGCCAGATATATCCTCACATTACATATTTATTCACATTAAAATAAATCATACAATTGAGAACCAAAGGGGTGCAAGGCTGCAGTAAAGGTTAAGAACCACTGCTCTATCCGAAAGCGGTGGAAATTCCGCATTCCCAAGACAGAGGTTAACTCGTTTCTTGATGAACACAAATGTTGATTTTTCCAGAAGGTGGTGCAGCTGAGTGCTATGCTCCTTTTTAAGCAGCTTGAGCAATTAAGCAGGGTTTTAGAATGAGGTTACATTTGACCCCAAAACAACTGGAAGCGTTTTTATATTCTAGAAATATATCCAGATCGATATACAAGGTGGACACATTGTAAGATACAACACTAAAAATCTAGGGAGAAAACTCATTCCTGCGGAGGGAGCTGGTAGGAACGTTGGATTGCTCGGTCAATGGCCAGGGTCAACGGCGGCGTGGTGTATTCCGCAAATATGGCCGACTGTGAGGGCGGGCACAAGCTGGCGTGAGTAGGTTAAACGATGAGTTTTATAAGGGCACCACGGGGTGACCAGCCCCTCCCCACCCAGCCCCACCCCCCACCCAGCCCCTCCCCACCCAGCCCCTCCCCACCCTCCTCTCTCCACCCAGCCCCACCCCTCCCATTTTTGGATGCACGACGGACGGACGGACACAAGAATCCCCTGTGGGCTGGTGTAACCAGAAGGTTCCTACCAGTATTATATTGATGACATCATTATTTCAAAGCCTCTCCATTTCTCCCACCAATCACAATGAAAATATAAAATATTATAACACTCTCGTGATATACTTTGTCCAAGATAGCCAGTCTGATGTGCTTACGACAGTCAAGCATGCATAAGTTAAGGTCACTGATATGTAAGGGAGTCACTACAAATGAGTCTGGTAACTATAAACCGATCACATTGTACACCCAACATGCCCATGTGCTGACATAAATTATGTAATTAGTATGTTACCTGCAAGGACATATGGATTGTAAACATTGATATCAATAAGGGAAATGGAACAAAAGCTGGAGATTGCACGAATAAATATGCTTAGAATTACACGGAGAGGCAGAAATAGGGCATACACAAGTTAAAGGTGTAGAGTATTGATGGTTAACAAATGTGGGCTTGAGTAGGCAACGCTACTAGAATATATTGATAGTTTATGGTTGAGACTGGTGACTGAACATTGTGAAACATGTCAGCTTACACATTATGTACATGTTGTACATGCGACATGAATAAACCATGTGTGCTGTATGAATGCATATTATTGATTGTGTACAATGCTATCTTGCAATGGTAGGTTTTGTTCTGCTTGGTATGCAGGTATCTATTGTGGTGGGGGGGGGGGGGCTATACTCTCTTACCATATCTATCCATGAACACAATTCCAGAACCAAAACTCTTTTATGTGAATACATGTGTAGTGACATAGAATGTGTAACTATGGTGCATAACGCTGGTTACTGGCAGAGAGAAGGGGATTGGTGGGTGTAGCAGCCCGGTCTGCTCGCAGGGCACGTGATAGGCCGGAGAAAGGGATGTAGGGCAAAGGTGACGGAGGGGGCACGTGAGGTGAAGCCCAGAACCTTCTGGTAGGTTCCAGAAGGAGGCGTGGCCGAGGGCGGAGCCAGGCCATGCTGGGGGGATAAAAGAGAAGGTCCCGACTCTGGGTCGGGGCTGTCATCTGGAATGGAACCCGTCGTGCTACACAAGTCTTCGTCCTCATCTTCACCTCCTCGGCGTTGTGGTCAGGCAGTGTGCCGGCTGTCCTGACCCGAGTGTAGTTAGTCCCCGTACCTGTGGTGGCTGTAATGAACGAGTGTGCCTCCTACGATTCGTGTCTCCGAAGTGACTCACTAAACATGTAATAGGATACATCTGCCACGACTCTGGGTGACTCCTGTTATCATCAATAACAATATAATGTGAAGTCAATTGTTGATCCACTGCTGGATGAATGCGTCCCCATGCTATGGTTGGTCATGGGGACTGTTTGACCATACTTCACCAAGCTATTCAGTGTGGGATTATAAAACAAGGTGCAAGGACTGGTTAAGAAATCACATAGCCACTGATGACAAGCGTGACTGGGAATCGAATTCGGACCCCTGGGTTCAAAGCACAATGCCCCAACGGCTGCGCCACCACTCCACCCCACACGATACGCTTGACTGCTATCCACGACTTTGCCAATCTTCCAACGCTTTAGGTATTACTCTCATCCAAAATATACCCAAAATAGAGTGTGATCTAACAACCAGTGTCATATTTGGAATAGTTGTCCTAAAAAAACCTCTCAAACAATACCCATTTGTATATCTACATTTTAAATCTACGGAAAAAATGTTTCAGCCGGGTCTCAAAACTGGAAATGTAGGCTTTTCAGACGAACAAAAATCTTACGCCATGTTTGCGTTCAGCAACCTTCCAAACCAACCGACACAAACTTTAGCAGAGGAGAGGGTTCGCAAACGAATCCGTTCTGAATATTTGCCTAAAGACACAAACATAGTTTTTTTTTCTCTCTAGCCACAAGCATACGCAACTACGGTCCTTAATAAGTCACTCTCTGCCAGCAGTGTCACAGCAGAAGGTGCAAGTAAAGCATTGGCAATGATTCAGCATTTCCATAAACGCCGATTTAATATGCAGCAGCACAAGTTACTTTACGTGATGCACACGTTAGACTGGTGACCAAATATACAGCGGATACATACGAACATGTGTTTAAATGCTGTTTATTTGTTACACCACGACAATGTTTTAATAAAACACGGTTCCTGTTACTGGCACGCCGCTGCACAGGTAATGTTTGTCTAATGCAGAGAACTAGGGTGTCATATGTCCCTAGCGCAAGTGCAGATTGTACGACCGATGCTGCTGTATTCTCTGTGTCTTGTGAAGTCCAAAATCTCTAATTACACGGTTTATTTATTTAGATCTAATCTCAATTTAATGTTAATTTTATTTCTGTTAAGTTCAAAAATTTACTTAATCTTTTACGTTTGGTTTCATTTACGTTGCTATTCATTCGTTTTTTTTATTGAATAACCCACTATCTGTACTCTTTAACTTATTTTGTTTCATTTTATTTCTACCTACGTGACATTACCGAAAGAACCAAAGAGTACACATCTTCACAATATTAATCTACTTATGACTCAGACTTCTATTGTATTTAAACAGACTTTTAGTAAATGCATTCCAAACGGACTCTCACTCACACATTTTAAACAGACTTGACCCTGCCACAGAAATGTAGAATTCGCCACCACAAATGTCCCAAACTCACGACCCGGCCAATCGCCCCTCGTTGATTTCCGTGATGACTGCGCCCAAAGCGCAGCGAGAGAGGTCACGATCACCCTCGCAGCAGTAAACCTTTCAACATTGAACACAAATCTGCGCATACCACAACACACAATAACGCCGCAATAACCACCCCCCTGCCCCAAAAGCTACATCCACATTCAGTCGCGAAAACTCGACACAAGGTTTACGTTGGAATGTTAGGGCGCGTACATACATAGCCGTCCTTGGAGCTGGGAGAAAGTGTGTACTTTGTAACCTTGTGAGTCGATCTCTCTGAGACAAGCCCGAGTTAGTATCAACAACGCAAGCCCAGTGCTTCCAATGATTGGACAGCTCCCATTCACATTACCCAGCGCGCACAAGCGACCGCGGATGGTACGGCGCGCCCGATTGGCCAGTTCTCCCCCGCGAGCGGCGTCTCGGCCAATCGCAAGCGGCGACGCGGAGCGCGTTGCCTATCCGATGTAGGGAATGCAAAACTACCGCCTCACGCACTACGGCAAAGAGTACAGTAAAAACTGTAATGCAGTGACGGGCGCCTCTAAGCCCCTTGCGTTTTGCACGGCGAAACGGATTACAAGTATTAGCCTAAGCCCTGATTTCACTCGCAAACTCTGACGTGCAAGCGCGAGTCAGACATTGCGAGCTTTAACGTTGCGCGTGCGGCCACAATTTAATTTGGAATGAGGCCACCACCACTTTCTCGATTCGCGCGTGCCGACAAAATGTTACGAATGAAAAAGCAAAAAAAACGTTTGCCGAATAACTCACAAATGTTTTCCTTCAATAGAACATGCAATTCAAGATCACCGTGATGATTATTATTATGATTGTGTATTCGTTGTGAACACGACAAGTATTAAACGGGCGCGAGAAACGCCGCGCCTCGACCCGGTACGTACCCTCTCGCGTCTTCCTTGTGTGACGGTGAAAACGCGTTTCGTATGTCGGGAGGAGGGCGGCGGTGGTGGGGCGGGGGGGCGGGGGGGGCGGGGGGGTGGTGGGAAGGAAATATGAACGCGTTTCGGCTTCCGTAGGAACGTGGCTCTGTCGATGGCTGCACGTTGCTTTTTCCACTCGTTGCTTTCCACTCGTTTCTTCTCGACACGCCCGTGGTGCTGAACTTGTTTCACCTTCACATTCCGCGAGCGTTCCTCTTGCACAAGCTCCACAGACGGCTCGACAACAATGGACATTCACGTCGCTCATCCTCGACCAGTTCATCACCAACCCCCCCCCCCCATGTGCAACTTGCACGCGCTCAACTTAATCTATATCAGAATCGGAATCCGACGAGCTATGAAGCTATTTATCTGCGAGTTTACATCAACAAACAATAACGTAACGACAACTGCCATTCGCGACGATGATGTCGCAGCTCGTGCCAGGCTGGGTGCGCTTTGAAGCCACTTCAGGTTGTCTGCCGGCAAGAGGCCACGGGGACACAGACCCAGGTGGCCATGGGTCTGCTTGAGACGCACCCATTGTGCAATTCGCTATTGTTTATTCTAAATCTCGCGTGCAGCCAGGCGTTTCCTCACGCTCCAAGCAGCCTACGCTTCCTGTGCAGTAACAGTTTTGTTAGGCACGGTGCAACTTGTCATTTCCTGTAGATTTCCACACAGGACTTTTATAAATCCGACTACGCCGCAGTGCCCGGCCAGTCGGATATGTGACGCTGTATTGTACGTTTGTCACTTGCAATACTGTACTCATTTTGGCCGTCTGTTTAGCTCACTATAGCTGTCCAACCCTTTGCTCTGGGCATTTGGCAGAGGTGTGGACTCGAGTCATGTGACTTGGACTCGAGTCAGACTCGAGTCATGAATTTGATGACTTCACTCGACTTGGACTTGCATAACAATGACTTTGTCCCACCTCTGGCATTTGGACCATGGGATTTAGCCACGTTAGGCAATGGGTCAGAGCAGAGATTGGTATCACTTAATGTAGCCAAAATAATGGCTAGTAAGAGTGAGTTGCTTGATGATAATCCACGCATTTCAAATGGTCATCACATAACTCATTGTGATTGGCCATGTAAATAAATTGCAACCGCTAAACTTAGGCCACCTCGGGTGATATTGACAAATATCTGCTCTACTAGATTTTTTGCCCAAGGACGGGTGTATATTGCAGTAAATCTGAAATATTCAATTGAAAAATTGTTCAGCTCATGATTATTAATGAGGCGGGGGGGGGGGTGCCCCATGTGGAGTGACATCACCCCCCATGGTTATTGGGGAGGGGTGCGGCATGTGGAGTGACGTCACCCCCTCATGGTTATTGTGGAGGGGTGCGGCATGTGGAGTGACGTCACCCCTCATGGTTATTGTGGAGGGGTGCGGCATGGAGTGACGTCATCCGCTCATGATTATTAATGAGGGGAGGGGTGCGGCATGTGAAGTGCGCGACCTTGTGCATTTGTGTAACTTTCCACGTGGGCATGAATAATGAAGGGGGGGGGGTCTTTTGCAGTGACGTCACGCACGGATGCAGCACTGCTGCGTCGATTTATTTTTTTACCGTCACTTTCTGTAAAGAAACGTCATATTTGAAGCGACTTTGCGTAATAAATTATTTAATTCAGACCGACCTGCGTTTGTGTAAAAATCCACCCACTCATGAATATTAATGAGGGGGGTGGGCCTCATGCGGAGTGACGTCACGCGGGGGTGGGCCTCATGTGGAGTGACGTCACGCGCGGGACGGACAGACATTTTTGGGTGATTATAGTAGGTATAATAGACCCATGGACCATTCTATGTGCGGGGATAGTGGTTTTCAAATATCAAGGCAGGGAATTTCACGGTACAACTCACACCCACAGTGACCTATTACAAACGTGGCATGGGAATTGTATTTAAATATTAAACAAAACAGCTAACTGCTTGTTCATGAATTGCAAAAATAAATCCTCTGGCACTTTGGCAACCAGCATTCTGTTTAAAAGGGCATATTTTCCACCACGAATGAATACTTTTCCCTGCAACAATGGGCTGCCTTTTAAAGCAGGGCTGCATCTCGTTTAGTGACGAGATGGTAAATATGTCACATAACAACCCAGTACAGTTCTAAAAAAAGGCAAATATGCAATCCACAGTTGTGTGGCATTGATACTGTACAGAAAACTTGAGGCAAGTGGGGTTACAATGCGAGAGATCCAAACGGGTTACTAATAATCGTGACATGCTTACCGATAGCACAATCGCGACACAACTGTTATTAAAAAATATGATAGGCAGTGTCCGATTGGCCACAATTAATACAAACATCCTGTGTTTGAGTGGTAGGAATTTGAACTGGATGTCTGGCGGTACCGGTGTTGTGTTTAACTTAACCATATACTACACAATTGTGATCATGGACCTCGGCTGACGGAGAAATGTCTCCGGGTTTTGTCTGCGGTGGAAAATTTGGCAACTCAAATCTGTGCATAGTGTATAGTTTAACATTGCATAGTGTATAGTTTAACATTGATATTAATCATTGATTTTAAATGTCAAAGTGTGTTGTCCACCCTCCTCTACCCGACACAGTCATCCAAATCAAGTTGCCACGTGAACAAATGCGTCAATTGTTATTGCTCGGCCAGACGGGACGAGAGATTATGACAATGTTAAAAGAACACCAGACGAACATTAAATACTCAAAAACACAACTTTTGACCGTTGTGGAACATGCCTGCCAACAAGGACGTTCAATGTTTGTTGATAACATTGGTATTCTATGTAAAACGAATTACTGTTGGTCAAAACGAATTAGAAAACCGATTGACATTGGGATGAATAATTTCATTTCAGATGACTGCGATAAGCTGAGTGCGGCTTGGAAACGCATTATAAAGTAATCCCATCAAAATCCCAATAGTGTATTAAAATTAATTAAAAACTTAACACATATCATGACTATTCAGTATAATTAACTAGGACTAAGCTGTATCACCAAGGAAGCATATGTACCTTTACATCAATATATCCAGCATCTTTATTTTAATCAATGTTACAATCTGTGATTGCATTAAAACCTCTTTGTGTCACTTCCTGCTGCTTGCGCACCTGCGTGGGAGTGTTGATGACATCACGCCACCGATTCAAGGCCTTGGAGAAGACTTACACAATTCTTACAATCGCCCGATTATGCAATTTTGCAACCACGAGCGAAACGTGGGACCACATTGTTAAATGTGTGTGTGGATTGCTCAACAAGCCGTAAAAATTTAACCCGTAAAAACAAAGTTTTTCACTATAAATCCTTTATATGCGTGGCATCGGGGCGGCTAGAGTCCTCTCGTCCTCTGGCTTGAGATGGCTGCCACCTATGGGTCAGATGATTGTGTGCCAGTATTAAGCAATTGGTAATTCAATATTTAATTTGTTTTCCCTAAACAGTGTAAAATTTTGGAAATTTTTTTCACGAACATTAATTGTCTCGCACAACGAGTCTGTGTGCAAAATGTCAGCTCGATTGGATCACGGGAAGTGGGTTAAACAACGACTGAAAGATTTGCACGGTCGTAAGCAAGCAAGTAAGCACGCAAGCACGCAAGCAAGCGAACTTAATATAAAGGATGTAAAAATGACGACTTTGGTTCCACACGAAATTGTCTCGCTCTGACAGCTCACCCACTGGTGTCTGACCTGAAGCCACGTGCGGGCATATGGCCGTATTTCGAAGTGTAACGATTCATTTTAATTAGCGACTTCTCAAGACTGCTAATGTACACACACTCATGCCATCATGTGTCCGCGGGTTTTTACCTCCCAAAGACTTCAATAAAAAAACAGAAACTCGAGAATACTTGCATTTATTTTTAATCATTAAAATCAATGTCTAAGACAATTGTTTTGAAATTACGACCGCTTTCTACAGAAAAGAAAAGTACATTTCATGTTCCGTTTGGAGGTACATGCATTATTGACAAAGGATCAAACGGGGAGAATCTACGCTAAATGATTTGTGTACAGTCGTATCATTGCGTTAGCTATATAACACAGTGGAATTACAGTAACTGTCTATAATAATAATTATTATTTCAAGCTTCTTACACACACAGCGGAACAGTCACAAAGTGTTCTTCATTCCAAACACCGGGGGGGGGGGGGGGGGGGTTGCACAGTTTCACATTTCAAAAAAAAATCTTTAATTGGGCCGCTATATATTTTTGTACATTTATGACTTTTTTTTACATTATGTTACAAAAACACTCAGTAGCACATCATAGCACTAAGTTTAAAAAGCACCTTTGAAAGTGGTGACAAGTGAAAGTGTATCTGGCTGAACAACAACAAAAAATCTCCCAAGAACACCGAATAATCTCTTCCCTTAATTAAAACAGATTACTCACAGACGACTCATTACACGCCGTCGTAGAAGATTATGGGGAACCAAAATGTACAATTAAACGTAAGCCTGCCTTTTCACTCAACGATCGAGCAATACTTATGCATCCTCAATGTTTTACAGGCTCCGCGAATGAATCTGAAATCTTATCGCAGTCCAGGGGTTCTTAATGACATTACAGCAGGGGGAAATGGGGGTGTGGACTGATTCTTATTATTTGAACGCGGGAAAACACGACTGTTTTACATTTGTTTCAAGGAACTTACGACAGAACAGCGAGAACAATACTTCACATGGCTATTGGTGTCCGACAAGATGAGCATCTCAGAAGAATCATCACGAAACCCTGTAGAATGTTTACAAAGACTTACAAAAAAACTTGAAATTTTGTGAATTTGTGGCTGGCGTGAGTTTCTCGGTCAAACGTTGAACTAGTCGAGAGATGATCGCCAACACGTGCACTGCCAGGAGTCTGTATCCTTTATTTTCCCGGCAGAACTTCGCCGAGTCGTTAGACGCTTTATCACGGAGGGGTTTCTCTGCATGGCGTTGTTTGGCCAATTCCAACAACGATTGTTTTGTGTGTGTAGAGAAATCTGAAGTGTTATGTTTTTATCCTGGAGGAATCCGATGAGCTATAAAGCTTTTTTCACAGATGTCCAGTAATTTCACAGATGTCCAGTAATTTCACAGATGTCCAGTATAAAACCCACAGGTACAGAGAGGGGGTGGGGGGGGGGATAACTCGAGTCTCCACAAATATCGATCCAAGTATCCATTTTCTGTACTTTCACATCCTGGCGATAGTATGGCCTATGCGGCGGATTTGGGAATTTCACGAATCTCAACACGATTCACCAACCCTCGTCTCCAAAGCGCTGAATACATTTCGCAGGGCCCTCTGGCTAATTAAAACGTAATTTCTACATGTTTAATTCATAACAAATAACACAATTTCAACCGATGAGATGCATCATTTATATTTATCCTCAATATGTACAGACTTGTGAATTATTAAACACGCTGAAAGCATTTATTCCATATAAAAATCACTGAAGCATGATATTTTTAACTTTGTATTTTAGATTATTTTACGATGTTATACGGGATGCCACGGTTGACTTCAATGTTCTAGTTTAAAAAAAATGTTCTTGCTTGAAAGCGTTTACGTATTCACTCCGTAATAAGGGGTCCGCCAATAACTCTCTTCATAAAGATGATAAAATGTGAACACAACTTGAAAATAAAATTGTGCTGTTAAGTGTGACTTGGCTTATTGAAAACTGCCCAACACTGATCAAAGGAAGGGCTGCCCAAAACAAGGGAGACAGAAACCTGAGCAGAGAAGACTAATTGCAAAATTGAAAACGCGGTGAGCTTTGGCAAGCTCCCGTTAGCTTCTGTACTACTAATCAAAGATTCTTACGGGGACAGACGCATGCTGGAGAGCTTACGTAACTCCGCGCGTGTCTTGACGTTCCCTAATCTGTTGACAATTGCCACAATATTTGTTAAATATCAACGGAGCAGAGAGGCCCTTGGGTTAGTGGCATACATCAGGGCAGTTGTTACAAGAGCTGGGATTTGCCACCAGCAGCAATCCCATCCACCCATCTACCACCAACTCAAAGCCCCCCCCCCCCCATTCCAGCACTCCCTGACCAACCGGGTCCATCCAGACCTCCTTGGCATTCGGGGGGGCATGACGCGAACGCACTGGCCTGCCGATTATATCAGCCAGTGCTGAACACAGCAACAGCCCCCGTCTTCACCTCCCAGGCAGACATAGCGCGACCCCGCTGGGCGCACAGATGAAGCTTTACGCGTCCGACTTGGTCAATGGTGAAGGGAGTGGGCCACATGCAGGTGCGTGTCGGGGGAGGAAACGGGCCACAAGCGCTGGCACGAAAGCAACGCCGATTGAGCAAGAGGCAAAACGAATGGCTCTTAGCCAACAACACAAACACCAGCCGCATGAATTCCATACTTTGAGCATTTAACTTTGTGTTACTTTTTCATTTTAATTTACTCAAACGTATTTTATAGATTGCGTAAAAATGCGTCACTTTATAGCCCCCATGTCAGTCTTGGGGGCTGTGTGACCATACTTCCCCATGCTGGTCAATGGTGAAGTGGGGGAGGTGGGTAGGGTGGTGGGCGCGCGTTGGGGGTGCCTAGAACCGAATGAGACATCTCCTCCGCCACTGATGTTAGCCACGGCTGGGATTCAAACTCGGGTCACCGGGCTCACGGCGCGGTGCGTGAACCACCTCCGTGCGGTGAGAACCAAGTGGCTCCTCTGGCTCTCCAAGTTCGTCTCCCTCGAGTGGCCCGAGTCGCGATGACGGATCAACGTTGCCCTAACATTGGCATGTTGACCGGGTCGTGCCTGATGGATTGTTGCATCGCAAGACCGTGAGAGATGGCGACGGACGGCTTGGGGAGGCCTTCATCCAGCAGTGGATTGGTCATGGCTCAGGATGATGACGATGATTAGTATTGGAATCTTTGTCCTGCCTGTCGGCGAGGTTTATCCCACTTCTTGGCTGCACTTGTTATTCACCGACGTCAGAATTATCACGGGGCTCGCCACCTGCGATGAGCACGGCTGGCTATGTACGGTGTGAAAGAAGTTCAACGTACGTACAGGCCACAGAGAATACAGGAGGATGGCTCGTCATGCTTCGTCTGTTCACGCGCCGTAGCCAAGTCAGCATTTTTATTTTTAAAAGTGTTGTCAACCTTGATGCTTGCTCGCTGCATCAGCATTTTTAAATGGTAATGAGAGCAAGCCGTGCAAGGGGCGTGAATTCTGAGATAAATCCTGCAAGCGTGCATTTCAGCTGATGGCACGTTATTGATCGGAGCGATGTAAAAGTGTAAAAAAAACTGAACGCAGTTGCTGCAAACATTAAACTCATTTCGCGTCTAAGGTGGTGGATGATATCATATTTAAGGTACCAATTAAATGTTTTTACTATTTGTCAGCATATGGATATACATGATCTCCGCCATGGGAATGTGGAATTGCTACCACTGCTTAAGAGACACTCTCATTACAAAGTGGAGGTGGGGGGGTCTTGCCCCCTTGATTGAGGCGAGGCGTTTACCATTTTAACAGCAATGGATTCTTGAATCTATCCGTGCGGAGTTTTAAGTGTGGAAGTTGGGTTTTCACCAAGTGGTCCAGTCTCGGTGCCACGTGTCCCGCAATAAACCCAAACACTTGTTTCATGGGAATTGGCCAAACATCCTCAATGCAGGACCCTCCCTCCTGGAAATAAGTCTTGAGGCTCGTGGAGGCTTTCTCGGATCGGTTGGAGGTGCTGAGAGGTGTTTTTTCAGCAAGTAACTTTGACCCCCCCTACCCCCACAAACAAGAGAATATGCCAGTAATTAAGGTGATAAGGTTAATCTCTAAATTACCTTTTGTCTAATGTACAATGCATTGCATTAAAAGTCGGAATTAGCGTGGTAAAGTATGAATGATGTTATGTACACAGTATATACCTGATAAGAGGAGACAGGGGAAGAGTCCTCTCAAACTCCTCTGGATAAGAAGCAGACTGAGACGGCAATTTCGTGTGAAGCCTGTTCTGTTTTCACATCGTGGCCTCGGCCCAAGAGAGCAGGAACGAGTAATGTAAAAATGAGGTATTTAGCAACAAAAAGTGGACGTTTTAAAACACTTTATATATTAACAAACACAGGTTACTGTACAGAGGAAGGAGAAACATTTAAATAATAGGGATTTGTGTGTGTTGGTTATGTTTATAAAGAGAAGCTACGCATTAAGGACACGTGAAAGCTGTCCTGTACCTCAGCCGTGTGGAGATTTTGTTGTTGATATAACTTTTTAATCAAATCAAGTCTAGATTTTAAATGTTTGATTTGGCACTATACGCTCACGAGTTTGACAATAATAATAATCAAATGTTTCAACACCAAAAAAAAAAACCACAATCCATCGTAGTTTCTTTCATGGTGACGTACGGGTGGATGCAAGTACAAAGCACGCCGAACGAAAGGCCGAACCCAGCGCACGGAGGAAGACGGACTGAAACACTCCCGCGTAAAAGCATCTCCCGGACAAATCATCCGGTGAACACAACAACAATAACAAGCATGATTGTCCCTTTTTAAAACAAACGGTCGCTCGCAACTTGATTCTATTCCCGCCGCCCAAAGATCACCATCCATCCATCCATCGCCCTGATCAGAACGACGACGCAAAGACAAATCACGTTTGGTCCCCAAAATATAATGCAGGGGGTGGTGGGGGACGTTTACACGGTGCTTTGTCGGCTAGTTGTTCAGAGTGATTTTTGAAACCGCAAAAATGCATCGATTGCCAGATGTATTATAACTGCCGTCATATGAACTGTTGCGTGAGATTGATTGTTGAGATTTGTACGTTTTATTTTATTTGTTATGAGCGATGGATCACAACGTATTTGCGTGTTGGCTTAGTACGTGTTACCTTTCAGTTTATATATATACACACACACACACGTTTTTTTAATATACAGTTTACGTATTATAATGACACTCCCTCACAAGTCCTTTGAGGAAATGTATAAATATTAGGAGGAACTGCCTTTTCATGATTGAACCAACCGTACTGTGTCTCTACTATATTCAAGGCAAAAAACCCCCAGCATTTTTCATGAAGGAATTTTGACATGTTCTGCGTGTGCTCACGAAAAGCACTCCCAAACGAAATTCGTGTTCGCCGAAAGCGTGCAAGGCCGACACAGACACACACAGACAGACACACACAACAACTTTACACGCTTTTGGGTAGCAGATGCAACTCTTGTGAATGTGCTGCCACATCTTTATATTTCACACATACGCACGTGCGCACGCGCGTAAAAAAATGTGTTTCCAATGACACTTAAGACCAGACGACGCCGAAGATGCGACTTGTCTTCAATGAAAACCCGTCGTTGGCAACATAGGCTCTTAATAAAGCTCATGGCCATCGGAATCAACCCTCCATGAGAAATTCTCACATACAAAAAACCCGCGTCGAAATCCCATCGAATCGGGTGTCAGCCGAGACCAGTGGAGCCTTAACCCCCCACTCCCCGCCACCTTCTGCTACATTTGGCAAATTTCTGGACAAATAAGCGCAATGTCAGCAGGAGTTCGTTTTGCGTGTGTGTGTGTTGCTTTAGCTCGAAGCGTACAATTACTTTTCGGATAATTTTCCCGTTCGCGCCGCCAGCACGCCGATTGAATTCTCGCGGCGGTGCCCCTTGACGCTTCGCTGCGCTGGGAATAATCAAAACGCGCGCAGACGAACGTCGGATGCAATAATCCGCCGACGCTCTGAGCGAATGTTTCTTTTAATCTGGAGGCAAATAGCACGAGTGGGACATCGACACTGTGATATCAATACGAGTGGGAAACTTATACATGTATATAAAAAAAAAGTTTAAATTCTTTTTTTTGTTTAAAACCGTTAAAACAACTCGGCAACCGCAGCGTTGCAACCGACATGAAAAGCTACAAAATCTCGCGGGTGAAAGAGTGGGCCGTGGCCCCCGCTGGCTCGCTCATTGCAGAATCGCGTGTCTACTTGCCCGAACGGCAGCGGTGGTGTTTTTTCAACGCACAACGCTGCTCGCTAGGGCCCCGGGCAGCTTGGCGTGTGGCCTCGGGCCAATTCCACTCGGCGATGTGAAGGTTGAATGACGTTACAGCGGACGCTGGGGGGTTTGCTATACACTACCCTGAGAGAGAGAAAGTGAGACTCGATCTCAGACTGGAGACCCTCATCCCAACTCAGATTAACCCTCATCAGCTGAAATGGAGCACAATTTGTAATTTTAGTCGTCACTTTTTTTTTGGTCCGTTTGATTTTTTTTCTCTCTCTCTCTCCAGTTAAAATCATTAATGAAACCTAATGCAGAAATGTTAAATACTGTCCTGTGTTGTAATTAAAAGGCATTTCATACCCAATGTGTCAAATAAAAACATTGCAAATCCTAGCAGGGCGTACTCGTAAGGCAACACGCTGTGCGTTAATTTTCACAAATGCTCTTTCCTTTACAAGGGGGGGTCCTTAAGAAATGTCACCCAATCCCATTGGGGTTTTCCGATGCCGCGAGGTCCCATTAATGATATCGGCGGAATCCTGTAGGATGTGTTTTTGGCGGGAAATCTTCATTATTTGGCCACTGTGTGCATTATAACCGTTCTAAACGTCGTGCAAACGCTGTAAAGATCTGTGCCGCAACTTGCTGGAATTGTGAAGCACAAAATAAAATGTGTTTGTATATGTTTCTATATATTTATATAAAAAAACACACTTGCATAAAAAAATGAAATAAAACTGGGCCCATATTCCGTGAAGTGTGATCCATCATCGGTGAAGAATTCCGCCCCCCCCCCCCCCAATTAACAAAGAAAAACTGGCGCGAGGGGAAAGTTTTTACAGGCGTCACAAATACCACGAGCACGAATAAATAACACGTTTACTGTCGCCGAGACACGAGTGTGAGTGACCGCACAGAAGAGGCGAGTGGGGGGGGGGAGGCCTGGATTTGTCTTTCACAGAAGAGCGAGCGCGGATAGGAGGATTCACCGGACACCCACCCCAGCGCAGGCCGCTGTCGTCTTCACGCTCGGCGAGCAAACGGCACGACGGCAACCTCGCACAGCGCTGCGGGGAGACTGCATTCGGTCCCCACGATTTCACTGGAATCATCGGCGATGGAAACAAAGGTGGGACAATCTTCCTTTCTTGGTCATGCAAAAGTGGAATTTGGAAGTGCAGCGTTGGTCCCAACAAAAGTCAAGTTTTACATTGCAATGATAATTTTTCGTTGTTAAATTTTAGATTCTTCATTTACGACTGTTACGTTTATACTTCTAACGGAGGCTTGGGGCATTAACACTCCCCACATATTTGCTGCCTCTTGTTCTTGATCGAGACGGCGATTACCTCGGAGGCCCCCCGTGACCCCCCCCCCCCCCCCGCAGGCTCACAAAAAACAAGATGGCGGACTCGCTCACGCCAAGTGCTGCCCCCCCCTCCATCTCCGCCGCTTCGTAGCCACGCGGCAACGCGCAAGCCCTAGCGCGCTGCGATGAGGCCGCACCAAGCAAGCGCGCGGGGGGGCGGAGGGGACGGATGCCTTCCCGAGACGGCTGCGAGCAACGCAGTAGGGGACGTGGTGGCGTCGTTCCAATCTTCTCGGCTCACGCTTCCCACCGTCGGGACCAGGGAGCACCCCCCGGCCACCCCCCCCCCCCCCCAGCGGCGGCGGCGGCGCGACCACCACTAGACGTGGCTTGCGGCCAGAGCGGCGCCGTTCTCGGCCGACGGCGGGAGCGTGCGCGGCCACCCCTCGGCGGACTTGGGGAGCCCCAGGCGGCCGCCTTCGTCCTCCGACAGCGACAGCATCATGGCATACGTCTGTGACACGCACAAAGATCCCCCCGTGGAGCCTTTAATGGACTGTTGAACCGAGCGACGTGAGCGAGTAACATCGATGAATGCCGGCACGGAACACGAGGTGGCCAGTACCGTGCCCGCCTTTATCTCTCCAGGTCTGATGTTTACACACCGCACCTCCGATTGTGGATGGCTACGTATATGGTGCGAAAGAAGTTCAACATATTACATAACTTACGGCTGAGTTGACCTAGGGGAGGCTCACTGTTATTGGTCGTGAGCGGGAATCGAACCTCAAGGACACCGGGTTTGTAGTGAAGTGCGCTAACCACTACACTACCGTTCCCCACTCCCCTACATCACGAAAAGACAGCGAGAGCTTCCCGTTACCTGAGTCTTGTTCTGCCGGAAAGGAGAGGGCTGCGAGTCTGGCTCGGGGGTCAGCGGGTTGGGGTTAAAGGTCAGAGCGGATCCGCTGGGAGGTCGGAGTTCACCAGCCGGCCGGAACGACAGGCCGTCGGTGAAGCGGGCGATTTGCTCCAGGGCCGAGAGCGGCTTCTCGTGCAGCGGGCTCGGGCTGCACCTGCACGGCCGGGGGGCGGGAAGCAAGCGGCGATCACCGGCGTCACTTCTCACTCGCGCCGACTCCCCCACCGAGGGGCATGGAGCGTCGATGCGTGCGCGCGCGCGCTCCCCACATTTGGCGATTCAAGTGAAGGTGGAAAGGAAACGACAGGAGGGGGAAGACAGGAAGCCATGGGGTAGTTGCGGCGATTTAAAGATCTTAAAGGGGAAGCGTCGAGGCCGAACGGAGCGGCGACACCAGCGAGTGAGAGATAAGCGTGGCAGCAGTTCGTTCAGCGCCATCATCGCCAAAGAGCTGACGGAAGGGACAGTCAAAAGGGACACGGGACGTTACAGGCAGCAGAGGGCAATGCAGCAAAATGCATTATTGTACTGTACGTCCATGCTCTCCGCCTTCACCAACCCCGCACTGATCAAAGTGGGTGAGGTGCGGTCAATAGCCATGCACCATTCCCTGCGCTACATGGGGAAGCCTCATCCAGCAGTGGACTGAGAAAAGGGCTGCACACGTGCACACGTACACACCCGTGCAACGTGAACGTATTTAATTCGCACACGATTAGAAACGTGTGCAGTCACTAGTGTGGTAGCAGGAAGGGGGTAATAAATCCGTAGCTGGGGACGCAGCCACCGTGGCCATCAAGAGTGAGAAGGGACGAATGGCGAAGTGATTGCCAATGCATGAGAGTGGATAGACGGGTCCACGTGAATATTCTAAACCGGCTAATCCGGCCTACTGCTGGCGACCGAGTGAAGCGAATGTCGGGTAGGAGAACGTCAGGGACCAACGTGCAGTGCACATCGTGCAATTGGGGCCACGATCAACGCGTTGTGTCACGTTATGTAGAGCGGGGCGCATTCACACATATCCGTGCCCAGTATCAAAAAAAGACAAAAAAGGTTGAATTGAATCGTCGACAATAATTTGATCATTTTGTAACAAAATAAAACAAATATTTCAATGCTCATGGCAGCAAGTTTTGGCATGCCTGCCTAGAAAATATTTCCCCACCTGGCACCCCACATCCATTGTTCCTCTCTCGCCATGGCTGCGGCTACTCGTCACCGCAGTGACCCCTACTCCTCCCCAAAGTAACCCAGAAACTCATTCGGTGAGTAACGCGATCTCCGGTCAGGCAATCATCGAACCTCAGCAGCGACTCCGGGCTCGACGAAATGGAGAGCGGCCGCCCGTCCTCCTGGCCTGCGTCCTTGCCACCGCCGTCGTCTCTGTCATCGTGGCGACGAGGGGACCGCGACCCCCGACCCTCGGCCTGCTCCTCGTCCTGCCGGACCACCGCCGTGTTCTTCTTCCTCGCGCCGTCGCGCTCGCTCCCTCCACCCCTCTCGCCCCTCGTGCGCTCTCGCTCGGCTTTGGACAGAGCCTCGGTCTCCTTCTGGCCGTGCCCCGGCATGACCGCTTGCTTTGCGCTGGCGAAGAGGAGGAGGAAGCAAAAGGAGGAGAAAGGTTGATCGTTATGGAAGGAAGCTCTCAGCATGCCGCACATGAACATTTGAGTTTTCGTTTGAATGTTACGGGAAGAAGCTAGGCTTCTTCGAATCAACGTGCACTCATGTAAGTCAGGTCACTTTGTTTGACAAAGCACACCTCCGATTAGCGCGGTTGGCTGCGTATGGTGCAAATGAAGTTCAGCACATATACACAGGAGTATCTTCCTTGCCGGTAAATATTAGAGCTCCCTCTAGTGGAGGCCTTTCCACCCGCAGTGAATAAGCAATTGCAAGGCTTGCTCCCAAGTACTGAAGTGAAGCTCAATGTTAATTTCCTGTTATATATCCATCGCCCAATAATAGCGTAACGGATACTTTCACGTATTCATATTCTGAATAATGTCAGAAATAAGCCAGATTTTTCGTTTTACATTCAACCATGCATGTAAACTCGTGCACCATTAGAGGGAATGTGACAAAATAAGTTGGCCGACAAACAATACGCATCTTTCCCACAGCTGTCTCTCCACATAAAAAAACACGGGATGTGCAGCAAAACACAACAACCTTTTATTCGCGTTTCATGTGGAGGGGCAGCTTTGGTTGGCTACGTACGGTGCGAAGCAAGTTCAACATCGTACATCCATTACAAGGGTGCGTATTGCTGTAGTCAGTGCCATGTGACGACCACGTGATGAAGGGATGCACTGCCATCTGGCGGCTTTGCTTCGCCACGTGACGACCACGTGACGAAGGGAGATGCACTGCCATCTGGCGGCCACTTCAAACGCTGCAACAAGTCACAGACCGCGGTCACGTGGCTTTGCTCGACTCGGTTAACCCAGAAGTAGTTACGGTTCCCGTAGCAGAGTACCCGACACGGTTTAGAACAACGCTTAATGTTCGATCGAGGACTCTGCGGCGAAGGAGCGGGGAACTATCTCCCTACTAAGTGCCAATAAAGTAGCGGTCCGTGTGGTCCCCCCAACGCACGAGACGTTAACTCCTTCGCCTGGTATGCAGTTGGTCGTGGGTTCGATCCTGACGACTTCGTATATGGAGTTGGCAATGTTTCTCTCCCCGTGGTTTTTTTTCCAGGTCCTCCGGTTTTCCCCTCCACATTTAGGAACAAGGTGTGTTTAGAGTATTTGGCTGCTATAAATGTCCACATGATAAGCCACTTCGTTGAGCTATCATTTGTGGCCAGGTTACTCCTGAAAAAAGAGCTCTATAGCTGAGTGGGTCTAAACTGGTCAAATAAAATAAAAATGTTTAACAGTTTATGCCCCTGTGTTTTGAACATTAAACGTGTGGCACTCACAGGAGCTGGGAGCCCGGAAGGTGCGACTGCCCTTCGCTCAGGAAGTTCTGGATCTGGGAGAAGAACGAGTCGTCCCGCTCCTCCAGGATGGAGCCGACCTCTCGGTCCGAGCTCGGAGAAGATCCGGCCGTGCCTGCAGCAGAGGCGACCCGATTAGACGATCACAACGACCACGACGAGAACGGAATTCGCGTTACATCGGCATTCATTCTGTGGCCGTTTGGACGCTAGGAGGCTAACTGTATGCTCATACGGTCAACTTGCAACCGACAAGACAAACGTGGCACGCTCACCTCTCACGCACGCATCTGACGGACTCACTACTAGAATTACACACAAACCCTTATGCACACTTGATATAAGACGAAGACACCGATCGCCCTATAGCCTTAACAGACTTTTGGTGCAAGTGATGTTAGCGACTAGCACGGCACATAAGGGGGTGGGTGGCCAGCACCACGTCTGGCTGTCTTTGTCTCACCGGGCACACACAACACAAACAACACCCACCATTTGCCACTAAGTGGCGATGACATCTCCACGGCGCCTGTGCCTGGCCAAATGCACTTTGAGGCCACGTGAAGTGTTGAAGGCTCGCTGACAGGAGGAGGTCACGGGACAGACCCAGGTGCCATGTGTTGACCGACTGAGATGACTGTCAGACGCACCAGCTGTGCCCCCTATCGTGCCAACTGGCTGCATTTTATCTGCCCGGAGCTCCGCTCGTCGTTGTGAGGGCGACTGCCTCCAACCGACCAGTAGCGGGGTACACACACACATACTCTCAGTTCTTTCGGTAAAGTCACATAGGTAAGCAAATCTGGCTGTTACAGCAAATCTGGCTGTGACGGTCCCACCTGATGACGGAGACTTGTGTTGCCTCCGAAACGTCGTGATTTTATTATTTAATTTTTATTAATTAAATTTTTTACCTACGTGACTTTACCGAAATAACTGAGAGTATGAATCCTTGCAGTCACGAAAGCTTCAAATCTAGAATACACACACACAATCACAGAAGCGCACCCACGCTCTCTCACCTGACACGCTGTCGGTGTCGTGCTTCTTGAGGTGGCGGTCCAGGTTGGTCTGCTGCCCGAAGCAGCGGCTGCACAGGGGGCAGCGGAAGGGCTTCTCCTTGTTGTGGATGTTGCGCACGTGCCGCTGCAGGTTGGACGAGATGCTGAACGAGCGGTCGCAGTACTTGCACCTGCCGGCGTAGACACGGGGGTCGGGGGTTCGACACGCGGGGGGGGGGGGGGGGTCAGCGTCGTTGCTTGAGGGAGGGCGACGGATAGTGGAGCGAAACGTCGGGTGTCATGGCGAGCAACGCGCCGGGGAGCCGTGCACGGGGTGCCAACGTCGTAGGATCGTTGGTATGGATGTGGCGAGGGTTGGGGGGGGGGTGTTAGCATCGTTGGGTTTCGTGTTCGAGGTAAGGTTAGGGTCAAGGTCAGCGTTGGATCGTGTGGCGCATTATGATAGGGCGAAGGTTAGAAAGTTACGATTCGTGTTGGGTTTAGGGTTAAGCTCGGTGCTGCATTTTGAGTTCGTGCAAGGCTTAGTTTTTTAGGAAGGAGGTGAGTGATGACAGTTTATAATAGTTTTTTGTTTAATTCCATGTATTAATATTTAAATATATAAATGTATATTTTATTTTTTAATCATCTTGCCACCCCCCCGCCCCAATGTGAAAAATGAACGAGCCATGAATTAAGCTTATTTCCCAAGGCGTCGCGATTCCAAGTTAAGAGACGCACGGTTAAATTATTAATATTACTTCCAAAAACGTTGAGCAGCGTACGAAATTAATGGCATTTTCTTTCTTTTTCTGTACGACACGACTCAAAAGGAGTGGAATACTTAACAAAACAAATGTTATACATAATATAAAAAATATATATTAAAAAAAACTCCACGTTGAAATTTAATTCAGGTGACCAATGGGGAAATTGAAAGTAAAATAATAAAACGAATGAGGGCCTCTGTTAGCCCCCGTAATAAATCAGCTCCATAACCCTGCACCAGCAGAGGCATCAATCAGCTGTGTCAGTAGCTGGGGGCAGCAGGGGGGCGGGGCGGTGTGTGGGGGGCGGTCTCGCGGGGGTGCGATATTCGAGCCCGGTTACACAAGGAAAATTAATCAGCGTCGTTAAGTCGACGAAGCTTTTTCCTTTTCAACAACAATCATATTTTTTTAACGTCCCCTCCCCACTCCTTTACGTGCACTCCCCCCTCCCTCTTAATTATGTTTCAACTCTAACACCGGACTCAAGTCAAGAGACACGAGGTGTCTACTTTTGAACTCCTATCGCGTTTTTTTGTTGTTGTTGTTGTAACGTTCTGACCTGACCCCACTGGACGTCTGTGAAAAAAGAAGAGCGTTCTAGCGCTTCGGATTTCTCTAACACATGGCTACATATTCAGATTCTGATTTGGGAGCGTGGCTGAGCGGTGGCCCACCGTCAGTCAACGTCGGCTCAACGTCGTATTGTTTGCTGGGAAATTGGGAAGTCAATGGTGAGTGTCCTGCTGAGAGACAGTCTCCTGTCATGTAAACAGGAGGTGAGTGCCAATATCTCGATATTCATGTGATCCTCTAGCCAGTTCATTTTCGTAGTGAAATCGCTTTGGTTTCTTGACAGTGCGCACACGCCGGTACCGCTCTGCACACGCGGGCACCGCTGTGCACACACGGGCACCGCTCTGCACACGCGGGCACCGCTGTGCACACGCTGTTCGAGATAAACACAGCAACGCTCGAGGCACGAAGCGGCGCTGATCTCAACGCACAACATCTGTGAGTGCGTAGCAACGCGGACGCTCAACATATGGCGCGTAAAAATTACACACACGTGTGCGCGCGTGCGCGGAAACGCGCCACAAACAAACATCGAGACTGCGCTTTTTTATTTTTTTCTGGAGCCCGAATTTACTTTAAAAGGGAGATGAAGTTAAAAGGAGCGAGCGTGGGGGAGGAGGCGGGGGGCTGTGCAACGCCTGCGCCACGGAGCAGCAGCAGCCGCAACAGCAGCAGCGTCTGACTTTTTTTTTGCGCGCGGAGATGCCAGGGATGGCGATGTCTGCGACGATAGCGCACGGGACAAAAGGGCCCGCTGTGTTTGCGTGGCGGAGTTCGTCGCGAGACGGCTGAACCACGGGGTGGGACGCCCACCACCTCGCTCGCCAACTCGACTCCGAGCCGAGCCAGCGAGCAGAGCCAGCCAGCCGGACAATTTGTTCAAAGCAACTTTTGCGTTACTTCAAAGCGGGCTTTCGCCCCAGCAAGCGTGCACGCAATTACGATGAGCGATAACGCCCCGCCGTGGCTGGAATCGGCGTGCGTGCGGGGCGGGCGCGTGTCCGTGTCCGCAGGTCGTCGTGCCCGCTTGCGGTGTGTACACGCATGCTCTGCGCGTGAACCGGGCGCCGCTGGAATAGTCAACCTCAGCCGCTCGAGCAACGCGAGGTCGCTCATTTCTCCTCGAACTTGCTGCCCCCCTTTTAGTCTGGGGGATTCATCCCGCCCCCGCCCCCCCATGATTGGCTTCCTGTTCCCCTGACTCTTACTCTTGTTCAGGTTCAAGATCTTCCTCCTCTTCTCAGGCGATGGCCAACTGGCTAGAGAGGATCAGTGTTGAGTTCTAGATCTGTGCTACAGAGTGGATGTGGAGCTCTAACGAGGGTCAGGATTGTGCATTCGTGAAAAAATTACTGTTCCATTTGCCTCTGCAAATGCGTCACATGCTTTGAGCAGGTGGTGTGTGTGTCAATGCGTGGTGAGTGGTAGCGTAGTGGTTAGCGCACTGCGCTACGAACCCAGCGACCGGAGTTCAATTCCCGCTCACGACCAATGTCTGAACTGGTTATGGGCCTTCCCCAGGTCGAATCAGCCTTACCTGGCGTGGTGTAAACATCTGCACCGGGGAAACAAAAGTGGCCAGGTGTGGTGCTGGTCACCAACCCCCAAGCGAGCTGTACCGGCCTTCATATGTGGTCACTAACAGCACTTGCCTCAACAGTCTGTGGAAAGGCTACAAGGGGGAGATCTTTGCATAGGCGTGGACGTGTCTAAGAGAGTGAGCCCAGTTGTGCCCTTACGGCGTGTTAGTAAACTATTCACAACGGTGGTGGCCACTATGCTGCTGCTGCTGCACACGGCGGTCAGTGAGTTGGTGGATCACCGCACAGATGTCGCGAAACTCCCTCCCCCACGGGCACGGAGGAGGAGCCGTACCCTGGCTCGACAGGAGAAGGCGGTGCAGCAAGCGTGGACTAATTGTCATCTGTTTCCATCTGTACGGGGATAGAGCGTTGCTGCCTCGCACCCGTGGGTTTTCTCCGGGTGCTCCGGTTTGGTTCCACGCGTATAATAATAATGATAAACACTCATCATTAAGTGGCTGAAAACATCTAAAAATAAATTGTCCTAAGACTCGGCGTGGCTTGCCTGGATAAATAAGTGCGTTATTATATTCTCAATATCACGCACGCACGCGCTCCCATTTACGGACGAACGGCACCAAGCCCACGCCTACGCTCAACCCAAGGAACGAACTCCCAGGATCCCATCTCCCCCCCACCTCTCACGCGCGCAAGCAAAAAAAGCAGCAACGGACGCGCGCGTGCGCACACACACACACGTATATATATTTTTAAAACCTCCATCTAAATTACAGGCTCAGCATTCAGAGCGTAATCAGTCGCCCATTAGCCGCAGCAAAGAGGAGACAAGCGTAACAATTCGTCACCCATGCAGAGGTCAGAACCGCCAATTTCGAGACTTCCTGCGCATGTGCTTTCTGCCGCGCCAGCCAGACAATGCCGCGCTCTATGCGCTAGAATTCACGACGCCCGCGCCGGGATTTTCGTCGGCAGAAAAGCGCCGCCGCCGCGGCCGCTGCTGCCGCCGCCGCAGTGGTTATTTTGTCAGCTGAGATCCATCGCGGCCCCCACGAGCGGCCGGGGGAGTTTACAGCGACGAGAGCCGCAACGCGTCCACGTTTGTTTGTTCGCTCGCGACCCGTCGGTTTAAATATAAAAAAGTAAATCCTAATTCGTTTTTCGCCAATACCTTTGCTTTCGTTTCGTTCACGAGTCTACGGCTCCGGAGTGGCCGCGCCAGGGAACGCCTTCGCTGGGACGTCGGCCGTTCTCACGACGGATCGAGCGCGACGTCGCTGGGGCGTTCGTTTTCTGTCGCCATCCTCGCCCATCTTCTCTCCTCTCCCCCAAGTTCTCATAACCACGCGCTCGATTCGACGCAGCGAAGTGACGCTCGTCTGTTTACAACTTCATCAGTGCTGTTTGTTGTTGGCCGCTTGGCGGTTTTTTACGCCTATGGGCGCATCATTTAATAATAATGATGACAACTATCTTTCGAGATGTTTAACGTTTTACTTTCATTTTTAGCATTGTAGAATCTGTTCGGTGTAGAGATATTTGCTTTTGAGATATATGACCGTGCATTATAATTCCTTGTGCTAGAACCCAAGTTGACATTTACCTCAAGGATCCTTGCTGTTGCAACGTTTTTTTTTTACCCAAATCTCCCTCACAAAAAAGGAACCTCTCTGCTCTCAGCTGGCTCTTCATCGTCATCATCATTGTGCACGAAAGACACAAGTGTGAGGATCACAAAGTAAAAAAAGAGTAATGGTAGGATTCAATAGCATCTGGAGAAGCAAGCAAATCAGCTACAGGACCAACACTGACCATCTTAATGACATACACGTTCAGTACGGCTTTGTACGCCTGCGAGACTTGGACGTTGAAATAAGACTGACAGAGATTAGATATTGGCACTGGAAATGCATTGCTACGTAAGGACACTGCATCTAAACTGGACCCAAAGAGGCATTAAGAAAAAAATAGTTGCACGGAGAAGAAGACCTGGCGATGCAGGCAAGGCTCTAAAACAGTCGACGAAATTCACTGTTCGAGTCGCACAATGAGCAGCAGACGTCGGCGTGGACGAGCCGGACAAATTTCCCTTCCGCGGGGGAGGGGGGGGGGCTCGAGAGCTCCTTCTCGTGGAGGCCCTTCCGGCAGCAGAGGGCGTGAGCAGAGAAACACTGCAGGGCTGCCGCATTTACCTTTTTAAATCCTTTATATTAAGTTCACTTGCTTGCTTGCTTGCGCGCTTAAGACCGTGCAAATCTTTCGGTCGTTTTTTAACCCACTTCCCGTGATCTAATCGAGCTGACATTTTCCACACAGACTCGTTGTGCGTGACAATTTATTTTCGTGAAAAATTTTGTTCCATAACTTTACACTTTTTAGGAATTTTTTTAAAATATTTAATTACCAATTGCTTAATGGTGGCAGGCAATCATCTGACCCATAGGTGGCAGCCATCTCAAGCCAGAGGACGAGAGGACTCTAGCCGCCACGCATATAAAGGATTTATAGTGAAAAACTTTGTTTTTACGGGTAAATTTTTACCTGTTGCGAGCGGAGTGTGAATTGAACTTGAAGGTGCGCGCGTGCGCTCTCTGTCTCTCTCTCTCTACGGCGGCGGCGTCAGCCGTGAAAGCCTCAAAGGAAATGAGCGGCTCGGCACGTTCCACTTTTCTGCGGCTACGGCTGCGATGAATGGAGGGTCTTGGACTCGCGCACACATTTTTTTTGTTCAACGTTCCATTTTTTTCTTCTTTTTTCCCTCCCTCCCTTCCCACCACCCCCCCCCCCCCCGCTCTGGCAGTGATTATCAAAAGCACATTTTGTCCAGCCACGGTGTCGGGTTTAGAGACCTCGAACAGCGTGGGTGAAACCGGCCCAGGGTTTGGCGTGTTTGCGCAAATGTCGTCGTTAAAAAATAAAAAAAAATCGGCCTAGAACGAGGGGGTGAGGGTCGGAAACCTGTGGATCTGGAGCCGCGTGTGACTCTTTTTAAGGGCTGCTTCGTGACCGTTATTTATTAATGGCCGCCGCCGTCTCGTATTCACCCCATTTGCGTTGCGGCTCTTAAAATATTGAGGTTTTATTTGACCGAATTTGGAAAAAAAGTGTCTCTTCTTGAAAGTTTGGTTTGCCAACTCCCTGGGCTAGAAGGTCCATCGGCCAATCGATTCGAATTTAGTTTTCTAGAGGATATGGACTCTTCCTGCTAATTACATACATTTAATTGTTGCCCGCAGTGCTGTGCCAAAGCGCCAGGTTCATGAAGCAAACGGACTCGTCTGGGTTTCACAGTGAACCGTCACACCTCCACGCTGCGATGGCGGCACTAACCTGTATGGCTGCTCGCCCGTGTGCGTCCGTAAGTGACGCGTCAGGTTCGCCGATCTCGGGAAGATTTTTCCACAGTATCTGGAAAACGGGAATCACCGCCGGAAATAATTATTGGAGGGCGCAAATAGTTTAGCGCACTCACACACACACAGAGCGAAATTAATGTTCACAAGTAACAAAAAATACGATTCTGTTTTACGAATTACAAAATCTACTTCTGTTGGTCTTTCCACATGGAAATATTCACGACTATAATGAGCCAAGAATGTCTGTGTGTCCCGCGCATGACGTCACTGCACATCGAACAGCCCCCTTCATTAATAATCATATAAGGTGACGTCCTCCAAATGGACACCCCCCCATTAATACTAATTAGTGGCTGACGTCACTCCACATGGGGGGGGCGAGGCACCTCCTCCCCCCTCCTCAGCGTCAACTTACAACCCTCACTACAAAGGCAGAACCCTCACGTCACGCGATCTCCGTACCACTATTGAGACATCGAAGTAAAAAGGACGTCATGATGAACAAGGGATTATAACCTTTAAATGAAATAGGTCTGTGTCATCGTGCCCAAATTGCACACAAATTGATACAATGAATATGAACGTCATGGTCTGCTGTTCGCTTGCAAGTTTCAGATTTACTGCAATACACCCGTCCTTGGACAGGCAAAAGGCGAGTAATATGTTCTCGTCCATCAGCCAATAGGCCTTGCAGACCAATATTATTCAGAAGCATTTTATGTAAGCGAGTAGACTCTGGTTGGACTGGTTTCCACCTTCCGGGTCTCATCAGCAGTGCCAGGCTTGTTAGACACCTGTCGTTGGATTGCCAGCTGTCATTGCCAAGAGCGCTCCCATCTGACGAGAGCGTCGTCTCATTTGGTCGATCTGCTCTGAAGTCCGCGACTCTCTCATCCGCAATCGATATTAAACAACCGGCGTATTACTAAAATAGAGATGTAACAAATCGATCGAATCGAGTCGCCGTGCCCCAACGGCAGCGCCGCCTTTTGCTGCGCATCGCCAGGATGCCGTCGGATGCCTCCGTGCGAGCCGGCTCACCGGCACGAGTAGCGCTCCTTGCCCTTGCGCAGCATGGCGTCGGTGAGGACGGACGAGGGCGTGCGGAAGTCGAAGGGCGGCGCGTGGTGGTGGTGGTGATGGTGGTGGTGCGGCACGGCGGGCCGCAGGCTCTGGGCGGCCGCCACCGCCGCCGCCGACTCGAGGGAGAGGCTGCCGAGCCGCTCCAACTTCTCCGCCACCTTGTGCATCCCGCCGCCGCCGCCCATCGGCCCGGGCAGCACCGACGACGGTCCCAGGCTCTGCTGCTCGCCCCCCACGTACAGAGACAAAGATCCCCACCCCGCGGAGCCTTGACAAAGATTCCCATCCCGCGTAGCCTGAATAGATTTGTTCGGGGCTGCGAGCGAGTAGGCACCAACTATGAAGGCTGGCACCAGCTACTCATTTAAGGCACATGCACGCACATGCGCGTGTCAATACACATGCGGACGCACACACAGACGCGTACACGAACATGCAGACATGCGTGTGCGCACATAGAAACAGCCATATTGGAAAATTATATATTCATCCAAGCAAAATTAAACTGATGTTAATCAGCATGGATTGGTGAGTTAAAAGAATGTAATAAAACTTTTTTTTAAATGTATGCAGTGGTCTAATCACTGTTATTATAACGGTCTATCTCACGTGACCTATGATGTTTAATGAAAAGACTTACCCAGAATCTCTGTACGAAGAAGCAGGAGACAAAAGGTAAACACGCAAAACATTCGTGTCAATTGTGACAATGGATAGAATTCCGAGGTGTGGTTTCCCTGCACCACGCGGACGGTGTTGGCAGACGACGAATGCTCCCACGAGGCCTTTGGTAGGCTTTACAAAGGCTGAGCTTTGCCAAAACAAGTGCTGCTTCTTAAAAAAAAAACGGTTTGGGTAAATGAAGAGATTGAACATAAAACATATTTATACTAACTTTAAAAAATGTATTCCAACTCAAGAGCAGTGCATTTAATAACTCAACCCTCTTTTTGTAAATGTATCATTATATTTTATATATATATATATAAAATTTGATTCAGGATGCAGTGGATATGAAAAAATAAGTTAATGTCTGCAGGAGTAATTTTTTTATGATTTCTAATGAGAAGACCGGTGGTTATTCTGAAGGGCACAATGGGTCTTTGCATACCATTGGCAGCTATTATTTAATGAGTAGTTACACACATGGGAGTAAACCAGAGCACCCGGAGAAAACCCGCCCAATGTAAGGGGGGGGGGGGGCGCCAATCCTATCTCCATACAGATGGAAACATCTTCATATATAGAGGGACTGCAGAGCTCGGATAATTGTTGGAAGCACCAGTTCTCCACCTTGCTGCTGCCTTCCAGCTTGGTGCGTGGTTTCCTCAGCCATTGTGAGGTGCAAAGCGCACGAACCATGTCGCTGTATAAAACTCGACATTATGAAACCAAACGAAAGAATGTGGAATCTTCCATCACCGCCTCAACACCCATGCGAGTAGGAAATCACTTTCACACTTGCCCAAAACTGAATTCTCATTTCCATTATCATATCGTGCATGGCAGTCAGCTGGTCGATTGACAAAGATCCTCCATATAACCTTAGCAGTCTGTTGGGGCAAGTGCTGTTAGCGCGCACCTATGAAGGCCGGCACGGCACACGAGGCGGTAGGTGGCCAGTACCACGCCCCACCGCCTTTTTCTCCCCAGTGATGATGTTTACACGCCGCACCGGGTACTCATTTGAGGCTGAGTCGACCCAGGGGAGGCCCAGGACAGGTTCAGATCTTCGTCACCGGTGTTGGCCGTGAGCGGGAATCGAACATGGGCCGGCCGGGTTCATAGCGCAGCGTGCTAACCGCTCCCCCGTACATACAAAGATAAAGATCCCCCTATAGCCTTAACAGACTGCATGGGCAAGTGCTGTTAGCGAGCACCAGTACACACACACGCACACCCACACTGCACATTGGCACAGCATGTTCTCACGCACTGAAATGGCCGGCCGCTCACCTGGGGATGAAGCAGCAGGTTGGGTGATGGTCGAAGGTATTTCTCCTTGAGTGACTCCATCGGTTCCATCTGCCTTCTCTTCTCTACCCTACTTTGGGGCACAATGACAAAGCATCAATTAGCTGGGTCGTAGCACGGAGCCGCCCGTCGTGTGAGAGCGTGCGGAGCGAGTCCCTGCCTTCACGTCAATTAATCTGCTTGCATTCGTACGGAGACGTAAAGTGCGCTGGATGTCTGTGAACAAGAGATTGATAGCTCATCGGATTCCTCCAGTGGAAATAATGATTCTGATACGATTTAAAGTAGTAATAATAATGATGAGCGATGCTGCGGAGAAGATAAATAACATGAATTCCCGCACCTCCGATTAGAACGATTTACTACGTACGGTGTGAAAGAAGTTCAGCATACATACATGCAACATGTAGATACACAGATGATAGGTCTCTTTCGTACAAACGTCTCCACGTGAAACATAACATTTTAATGTGGAAAGAGACGCATTGTCTGGATATTTCATTTAAACAAGGCCCGTCACACCAACGTACAATAATGTAGTTTTTACATGGAAGCCTAAAACTATTAAGATAGCTAGTACAAGATATTCAGTTTAAAATATCAACAAAGCGATGTACCCCCCCCTCTCCTTAGGAGTGTGTTTGTTCCCTAGACAGACACACACACACACGGGGAAACAAGAGGACAAACAGACAGAGACACACACACGGGGAAACAAGCGGACAAACAGACAGAGACACACACACACGCACTCGGGCAGGGAGAGCGCTGCTGGGTGCCCATTGGCTACTTCTGTCAGGATCCGTGGCAAGACCCCCGCTTGGTTGGCCGGCGTTCGCTTCCGGCGCCGAGGGGCGCCCCTCGCCGCCTCTGGCCAGCGGCCTCAAGCTCACCTGTAGATGGGGTCCATGAAGAAGGGCGACGGTTTGGCGTACTGCAGGAAGGGGTGCTGCGCCAGCGCAGGGGCCGGTGGGGGCGCGCCCCACTCTCCAAACACGTGGTTCCTGTGCGGCTCGGGTCGCCGCTGCCCATTGCCGACGCTGCCGCCGCCGCCGCGGTTGCGCCCGGTCACGCTCAGGTCCAGCGGCTGCTCGTCGGCCCCCCGCCGTGAGGGGGGGCGGCCGTGCGGCGAGGTCGGAGCGCCGCCGCGGTCGCGGCCGCCGCCACGGTCGGCCGCGTCGGCCGGCGCCGGCGCCCGCCCGCCGCCCGACACGCGGCGCTTGCGCAGGTCGCAGGGAGACTCGGCGGCGAACGCGGCCGCCGCCGCCGACTCGGCCTTCGCGGCGAGGGAGGAGCGTTCGAGCGCCGCGGCGGCATCGCCCAGCGGGAACGCCGAGTTGGGGAACGCCGGGATGAACGAGAACGGGAAGACGGAAGGGTACGGCAGGTGCGCCATCTTCTTGTCGGAGAAGCCCACGAGGCTCGTGCCGAAGTACCTCTCGGCGATGGAGGCGATGGCCTTGATGGAGTCGTTGACCGAGCCGACGACCCCGGTGGAGGAGGACGACGAGGAGGTGGCGGAGCCCTGCTGGTTGGCCACCGACAAGGGGAGCGCAAACGGCGGCTGCCGGGAGAAGAACGGCTTCTTGCCAGAGCTGCCGCCGAGGAGGCCGTTGCGAGGCGGGGTCGCCGGCGCGGCCGCCTTGCCTCCCTCCATCTTGATGGCGTCCGCCCGCCGCTTCTTCCTCCGCTCCTCCTTCTCCGCGTCCGTGTCGCCCTCCGAGCCCGTCGTTGGCTCCAGGTCGCTGCCCACCAGCGAGCTCAGTCCGGCCTCTTCCTCCTCCTCTTCCTCATCCTCCTCCTCATCCTCCTCCTCTTCCTCCTCCTCGTCCTCGTCTTCTTCCTCGCGATCCTCCTCGTCCTCGTCCGCGTCGCCCTCCGTCATCTCGTCGCTCATCTCCGACAGCTCCCCCGTGGACGTGCGCCGCTGCGCATCCCCGGCTCGCTTCTTCTCCCCAACGTCCACCGCGGGGCCGTGGGCCACGGGGCGCGAAGGCGACGACGGCGACGACGGCGACCGCTGCGTCGGCATCGCCGCCGCCGCCGCGCCACCGCTGCGGCCCTCCTCGTCCCTGTGCGGCTGCTGCTGGCTCCGACTGCCCTCTCCGTACAGCCTCTTGAGCAGCAACTCGGGCCTCGAGTAAAAACTCGACAGAGACCCCGCCTGCTGCTGCTGCTGCTGGTGCTGCTGGTGCTGCTGCGGCGGCAGCGGAGGAAGCGGCGGTGGCGGGAAGAGCCCCGGAAAGTGCGCGGCCAACGGAAATCCGGACGCTGCCGGGAACGTGAGCCCCATGGCCGCGTGGTGGTGGTGCTGCTGCTGCTGCCGCAGGTGGTGGTGGTGGTGGCCGTCCTGCCGGAACAGCTCCGCGAAGGTCGTCGGCGGGTGGTGGTGGTGGTGGCGGTGGTGGCCGTGGTGGTGGCCGTGGTTGGCGAGGGAAAACGGCACGAGTGAGCCCTTGTCCGGCGCCGAGCCGGGAGGAGGCGCCGGCCCCAGGGGGTACATGGAGCCGGCGCCGCCGAACGCGAGGGCGGCCGCGGCCGCGGCGGCCGCGGCCGAGGCGGCGAAGTGGCCCTTGCCCTCGCAGAAGCGCCGGTGCTTGTTGAGCGACGAGGCCGTGGCGAAGAGCTGCCCGCAGTCCTTGCAGCGGATCTGCGTGCGGCAGTCGGCGTGCATGCGCTTGTGCCGGCACAGGTTGGAGAACTGCGTGTAGGACTTCTGGCACACGTCGCCTGCCGCCGGACAAACGCAGGGGGGGCGGGAGGGGACAAGATAAGAAAAGGTAAAGGCGCAGCCCTGCAATCGCTCGCTCGTGCCAGCAGCTGGCGGAGGGGCCGCTCTGCGGGAGGGGGCTCTGGAGATGCCCGCCACAGACGAGACATTTTCCCGGCTCGTCCACACTGCTCGGACGTCTTACAGCTCGTTTCGTGACTCGAACAGTGAATATCCTCTCGGGAGGGTAGCTTGGCCTATTCTTCCACACTTGATTGATGATTGTCCGTGGGAACTTTTTGTTGCAAATTGAGGGGGGAAAAATTGGCTTCTTTATTGCCAGAAAGGTTAAAGCCTATTCTTTTTTTCATCGTTTACATAAACGTTTCGGAAGGGGTGGGATTTATCCACACTTCACCCCACTACACGTGACTTGCCCAACGACGGACTGCGCTGTACCCGTTTATGCTGCCGGTGAACGGAGGCTGAGACATTTAAAGGGACCTGCTCAACGTTTCAACTGCCGAGCCGCGACAATGGCATCCAACTTATGCCTGCTGCATTGAAGGAGAGAGAGGGGGGGGGGGAGTCATTTGAGGTCGAGGGTTTGGGGACACTGAGAGAACGGCGCAGTCATCGAGTGTGCAGGCGGTGCAACTGCGCTTAGGGGCTTGGGTGCCAGACTTCACAGAGGGAAGCCACGGTGACGAGATGTTAACAACTTCGCCTGGTATGTAGGAGGTCCGTGGGTTCGATCCCGACCCTGACGCCTGCTGTTTATGTGGAATTTGCATGTTCTCACTGTGGTCACGTGGATTTTTCTCCAGGTCCTCCAGTTGTTCCCTCCACATTTAGAATCAACATACGTTTAGAGTATTTGGCCGCTATACAATTCCACGTGACAAGCCACTTCGTTGAGCTATCATTTGTGGCCAGGTGGCTTCTGAAAGAAAGAGCTGTATAGCTCAGTGGGCCTTACCTGGTAAAATAAAAATAGTTTTTAGTTTAGTTTTGGAAGAAGGCAGAGAGAGAACCCTAGGTCAGGGGTCGGCAACCTGCTGCTCCGGTGCCGCGTGCGGCTCTTTAAGGGCTGCTTCGTGACGCTGTTTATTAAGGACCCCACACCGTCTCCGTATTCACAGTGCATTGCGGCTTCCGAATTAGAAAATAAATGGCTCTCTTCTTGTTGTTTGGGTTGCCGACCCCTGCCCTAGTTCCATCCTGGCACCAGAACTCATGCCGACGACGCTGTGCCACTGGGGGGGGGGGGGGAGGGGGGGGGGGCACGCAACACGTTCACGGGCCCCCAAGGCTGCTAGAATCCGGGCTCCCACCCCAAGGCTACCTGCGACCACCCCAAGTTGTCTCTTTGCCATGACAAGGTAGCCAGGCGACACCGAGGTTTCACAATGGCCACGTCATAGTCGACTTTAATTACCGTAATCTCTCTCATTAAACTGGGCTGATGTATGCGGTGAGTTTGAGGAGGCGTTTCTAAGGTTCAGTACAATCGAAGTCTCAGCGACATCTTCATCACAACTGAAGCTGCCACCCCCACTCCTAGAGGCGTCAACGCTACCTCCCAAATCACCACGGGACTGTGAGCTCCAGGTTCCACCTGTAACCACCTGCATGCCCCCTCGCACGGAAATGCTGCTTCACATAAATCATGGATGGATGCTGAAAGGAGATCTGTTTTATTTTATTCCTCACATTAAACACGAAGGTGATAAAATACTTGCCGACACTGCGATAGGACTGAACTCTGAAACGTCTATGAAGAATATACATGTATCTACGTGTTTCTGTCTCTCTGTTTCATGCTCGATCTCCCTCTCTCTCAGTCTCTGTGTGTGTCTCTCTCTGTCTCTTTTGCTCTGTGTCTCTTTCTCCCACTCTGTCTCTGTCGCTCACTGTCTCTCTGTCTCTTTCTCTCCATCTCTCTCCCCGAGATCTCTCTACCACACCCTCTGTCTCTCTCTGTACTTCGATCTCCATCTGTCTCTCTGCTTCTCTCTCCATCGCTCTCCATCGCTCTCTCTGCCTCTCTCTCCATCTCTCTCGATGCCTCTTTTCTTTAATTACGTCTCGGCGAAGCGCAGCCGTAATCATGCGGATGACGACACGTGCGGCGCCGCTGCTGCGCCGCTGGGGGAGATGCTGTCCGCACGGCGCAGGGCACAGCGATTGACGCGAGCCCTTCCTCTCCCGCTGACATGTGTTGCTAATTTAGCGGCGGCTTTAATGAACTGCCATTCGGAGGAGTTTATGTTTAATTTTCTTGCCTTGCGTAAACAAACAATTGCGTCTGCAGGGCACCCAAGTGATAGCCAGATTTTTATTTTTTTATTTTTTTAAGCCTGTCACTCGTATTAAGTAAACGTGAAATTGTTGTACTCCCAAGACAAACAGAATTATCGAGGATGTTTGCAAAAAATGTTGTTGCCGATTCATGAGAATCTCGTGTTTTGATTTCATGTGCACATGCTGTTTCAGCGTCTGGAGCTGTCTGAACGTCCGTGCGAATCTGACGAGAGCAGACAGAGAGTCGCAGCTGCGTTGTTACGATGCGTAGATGCCTCTTGATCCAGCACATTTGGAGGCTGGGTTTGGTAGATCTCACATCATTGTGACATCCCAACACCCATTGGGCTAAGTCAGGTGGTCAGGAGACAGCAGATCCTTGAATCCATCTGTGCGAGGTCTCGAGCGTTGCCCGCCTCAAATGTTTGGTGGCCTTCATCCGGGTTCACTAGTCCATGGGCCAGGGCGGAAATCGGTACCACCAATTTAGTGGCACAGCTAATAAGAGTGAATTACTTGATTACACCACTGAACCCTTGATGGTTGTTGGCCTTATTAAGACAGCAGAACCACGAGAGAGAGTAATGCCATCTCAGGGAGAGTAAAGTTGAGTGACGTATCTGGTCTGGGGCTCATGGACTAAATGGCCAAACGTGCTGATTGATGCACGGTCCTCTTGAGACTTGAGAATGAGTGAGGCTTCCCTGAGTAAACAGAGGGTACGGGGCTACTCTCACAACTTACACGGCCAACACGGGTTACGAAGAAACCAAGGAACTTCCGCGCCAATCATAAATATAATAAAATAGACGCAAACAACATCGGATATTGATAATTGCTACAAAGCAGGCGGCGTATAATGGAAGCAATGAACAACTTGGACATGAATCGCAGCACGCTGCCCACTTCGCTTAACTCCACCGACTAACTCTCGTCACTTTGCGCAAATTATAACGACACCACGAAGAGGCCGCTCATTAAAGCGGCCCTGGGCAAATGGTGCAGACGCTTGGCAAAGACAGCGGCGATTTTAGCCGTGGATTAACAACGAATTTCTTTAGAACTACTTTTTGTGTTTAGTTTGTTGTCCCCACGCCTCCGAACGGTGTGAAAGAAGTTCAACATGCACACGTATATTCCACATGACATCGGTCTCTGCTGGAGCCATCTAAAATAATTAACACTATATGGTTCCACAGGGCACACTGGGATGATGAATATGATGAATATATTTCACGAAACTAGTTTTTGAAGGTGCTTCTAAAGTATAGGTAAGGTGACAAAAAAACGAACGAAATGCGAACAAAAAAATGGGTCCCAATTGCAATTAACAGATGATTCCTTCGTGACGACATCGCAGCGTTGCATTCAACAAACTGCGGCCAAGTCGCAATTCTATACGGGAAGCCGCCGCCTTGCCGTCTCGGTCAGCGCAGGGGTCACCGGTTCACGGCTCAATCTCCCGGCGCGGCAAAGCAAAACCGCGGTGCGAGTTTCTTTAACCCCACCCCCCTTTACCCCGCTTGTACCGCCCTCTGTCGACCCGGCCGTATAGATTGGTAGCCGTGGTTAGCCCGTTGGCAGGTCAGGCACGTGGTGGAGGGGGTAAAGCGTGGGTTACTCCCACCCTCTTACAAGGCAGCTTTGTCTAGTGTGGAGCAGTAGGCCAAAAGGCCTCTAGCAGAGAGGTGGGGGGGGAGGTGCTGGCCCTCGGGCGCTCCCTGTCAGCCAAGAGTCTTCGGCCAGCAGCGGTGCGAGCCCGGCAATTGCAGGGCTGCGCCTTCAGCGCCTCCTCGTCACCGTCGCGGAGTTTTACCGCGACTCAACTTTGCGTTGTTCCGCCCCCCCCACTCCTGCCCATGCCACCGGCCCACACAACCCCCCCCCTCCCTACAAACCCCCCTTGCTCTTTGCCGGTAGCTGCGCCCCGTCTCTCGGCACTTTATTAATTTAGTGACATTTGTCTCGGCCGCTGCAATTTACGTGAGCGCGCCGATGAAGGAGGGCGAGAAAGTCATTAGCGGCCGGGGGTGAAACGTCGCGTTGGGCTAAGGGGGTGCGCCGGTGGGGGGCACACCCCCACCGCCCCCCCCCCCTCTCCAAACCCGGCAGGGCGGCGGCCAGCGCGCGAAGGGCGACGAACCATAATTAGCTGTCAGGAATTTAATTAGGCCTGCGACTGATGAACATGATATTAAAGATCCGGGCACATGTAAATTTCACCCGCGATCCATCTGTTAGCGTGGCTTCTCATTAGGGACGCCCCCCCCCCGCCGCTCCTCTCCCGTTATTAACGGGGTAATTAAGGAAGTCTGCGGCCCGAGTCATCGATGGGTTCTAATTACAAGGGGTACCCCGGACAGACCGGGACATTGTAATCTAGGATAATGATCGGCGAGTTTTACAAGCGCTTTGTGCCCCCCCCCCTCCCTCCTCCTCCTCGGTCGCCCTCCTCCCTCTCCCACCCCCCACCTCTAGTGATCTCCCACCACATGCTGGTCAAATGTTACATCTGTAAGAAGTACGAAGTTGGCACTGTCGTGGTGCTGCAGGCAACGTGTTCTTGCGCTGTATTTGACCTCCTCCTTCAGCCTAACGAGCGTTGCGACGCAGAGTCTGGTGCTCCTCCTCACTTCTCACTTCTCCTTCGGGGTTGAGAGAGCTCTGGGCGCGCGGAGCGAAACGTCGGGACGCCGTGACCAGCGACACGTGGCACACGACCCCCAAACACGGCGGCACAGCTTACGGTTCATGGAGTCTGAATGAAGGCCCCCCACTCCCCCCCCCCCGTAGGGCGAGCGAACGTAACTTGAAGGTGAAGAACGTCACGGCCATCGCCCCGTCGGAGGACTTGCGCCAGAGGGGTCGGCGACCAAAACAACCACAAGAGCCGTTTTTGTCGAATTCAGTAAAAAAAAAATCTGTATTTCAAGATGCCACGATACACGCGGTGAGAATACGAGACGCCGGCCCTTAATAAATAAGGTCAACAAGCGGTTCCTTCGAGAGCCGCACGCGGCTCTCCGGAGCCGCAGGTTGCCGACGCCTGGACTAGCGCCGCCGAGGTTGAGCGTCACAGAGGGGTGAACCCACGTGAGCGCCGTCGCTGCGTCGCGATTTTTGCCGCCGTTAAAAATAATTCGAGTGGAGATTTGGTTCGAACATGGAGGGCGAATTAAGGCCGCGTCATTATTGTTGGCGGCGCTATGTTAAAAGCTCAGCATTGCTATGGCCTCTCAATGGGATGCCCACAATGGAATTCCCTTGGGGTGGAGCAGTCTGAATAGGTGGTGGTCGTTGTCTTGCTGACCTTTGCAGGACAATGGATCACGCTGACTGGGATCTGAAGTCTATACGCTGATGCCGATGACTCGGTGACGCTGATGCTGCATTGGCAGTGGTGCACAGGCACAAATAACAAAAAGACTCATTACACAGTTCGGTGAAATAACACCGTGGCCTTTTTAAAAAGAAAAACAACTATAATAGGCAACGTTTCAGGCAATGGGCCTTCTTCATAACGCACAGATACAAAGGCTCGAGAGATGTAACATTAAATTCTTATCAGGCCCCATCGTGTCCAACTCTAATTCACTCCGTCTCTCTGCTATGAAGAAGAGCCATAGGTGAAACCTCTGCCAATTACACACCCCTCCTCGCAAGGCGACTTTCAGCGTTATTGACGAACGAGTTGAGATGTTCTGTCAGTGGCGTGGATGAGCTCACTGCCTGCCGCTATACCCCGTGGCTGCTCCACGCATGCGGGTCGCGCAATCTAACCGTGGTCGGAGCTTCCGCGGGGCGAGGAGGCGCCGGAAAGATTAATTTATGAAGCCGATTTCTCTCTTCGGACGCAGCAGGTTAACGTTTGAAACCCGACGGGCACCCTGCACGATTTTTTATACTTTTCTTCAAGTGAAGAAAGTGCAAACAGAACAGCGGGCATTTATTTCTAGATTTGAAGCTTTCGTGACTGCAAGGATTCATATTCTTAGTTTTTTTTCGGTAAAGTCACGTAGGTAAAAAAATTAAAATTAAAATTAATAAAAGTAAAATAAAAAAATTAAAATAAAATAAAAATAACGGCGTTTCGGAGGCAACACAAGTCTCCGTCATCAGGTGGGACCGTCATTTATTTCCCAACTAATCTCGTGACGTGCTCTAGTTTTCTCGTACTTTTTCTCGCCCCCCCCCCCTCTGCTCTTTAGCATCACGCACTTTTTTTTTGCTTTGCGAAAGACGGCAAGCGCCGGCGAGCACCAGCGAGGGCTGCCTGTACCGGGGACGACGCGGCTCGTGCCGGCCGCATTAGCATAAGTTAATGCGGCGTTCTAAAAACCCCATCGCATGACACGCATTTGACAACCCATTCGTCACCCGGTTAAGCAATCAGCTATGACAACTCATTATTAGAACCATCAGCGTTCTATAATGAACCTTTACGTACTCGGCAAACGAGACAAATGGATCGCAGCGCCATCTGCACACGTCCATCTGTTTTTTTTTTTCCGCAAGAGAGCAAAACCCCAACTTTGAAAAATCACAGTCCCCCCCGACGTCCCCCCGACGTCCCTCCGACGTTCCCCCAACGTCCTCACGACATCCCCACAACGTCGAGTCGGCACTTTGACTGTAAGTGGGGGCACGGTGAACTGGCGGCATCGGCTTGCCGGGTCACTCCGAGTCCCGTGTTCGCAATTTTCAGGAAGAAAAAAAAACCGATACGGGAAGACTTACAAGACAAATACCCAGCTGGATATGGGTTTATTCGCTCCGAATAATCATGGATAATTGGATGTGAAACTCATTTCAAGTGTTGTCTCATGTTCATTTGCTTTAATCAGTAGTCCCAGTGATAACTCTGGACCACGGACGTTGAGTCACCACATGTTGTGGTGTCACCACGTGCGGTATATTGGAGCCATACAAGAAAACTCTTAGTGGCCCAAGCAGCTCAAGGGACTCCGGATTCAACCAAAATATCAGCCCAAGATCCTAAAAAAGATGAAGCACGATTGTTTATGTATTTAAAAGCCAGTTAAATCACTCCCATCGCTATCTGTTGTACGCACATTTACTCTCATGTCGGCACACCTCGACATTGGTGTCCAGTTCTCTCACCTCACTCTCGCGTCTCTGGCTTTCTACTCTCACACGTGGACCCTGCTAATGATGATGATGTTGATGCTGACGCTGATGATGCATGATGATGATGACGACGATGATGCTGGCGATGACGCCGACTATGCTAGCTATGATGCTGACGATGACGCTGACGATAATGACGATGAGGCTGACGATGACGCTGGTGATGACGCTGGTGATGACGACGATGAGGCTGACGATGACGACCACGATGACAACGGCAGGAGAGGAGTGGCAGCACTCACAGCTGAAGGGCTTGATGGTGCTGTGGATGTGCCGATGCTGCTTGAGGCCGGACGACGTCGCGAACGTCTTGCCGCAGTCAGTGCAGGTGTGTGCGCGCGCCCCGACGTGCTGCGAGCGGATGTGTCGCTGCAGGTTGCTGGGGTCGGTAAACACCTGCGTGAAAGCCACAGCGGTGAACACCTGCACGGAAACCACGACTGTGAACACCTGCACGGAAACCACGACGGTGAACACCTGCACGGAAACCACGACGGTGAACACCTGCACGGAAACCACGACGGTGAACACCTGCACGGAAACCACGACGGTGAACACCTGCACGGAAAAACAATCGCGGTGAACTACATCGTCATCGTTGTTGTTGTTGCTGCTGCCGTACCTTGTCGCAGTTCTCGCACTCGAAGCGCTTGCCGTTGTCGTGCGACATCTGGTGGCGGATCAGGTTGGACTTCCAGTTGAAGGCCTTGGGGCACTGGTCGCACTTGTACTCGCGCTCGTCCGTGTGGATCACCATGTGCCTTTCCAGGCTGCTCGCAAAAAAAAGACAACGGGGGGGGGTGCGGGGGGGCAACGACGGGGAGGGTGCAGGGAGGGGGGACGTGGCGATGGAGCCGGCGTGAGAACTTATCCCGTATGGAGCGCCGTTCTCATCAATTCCATTCTCCTTTTCATACAAAAACACAACAATTATTTCGTCAATAACGCTGTGGCCTGAACATAAATAAAGCAGGGCAAAGTCTGGAACTCCCTTCCCTCCCAGCCATCCATGCCGAGAGGAAAAATAAAGTTTGGTTTCGGCGAATTGATCGTAAGCGGTCAGCCTCATCTCCGTTGTCAAATCTGTGCTACACCCCCCCCCCCCCCCTGCCTATCGCCCTCTCGTTTCTGACAGCATGAGCTGTGTGATTGAGAACTAAACTGTTTCAACAATTTTTTTTTTGACCAGGTAAGGCCCACTGGGCTATACAGCTCTTTTTCAGAAGTGACTTGGCCACAAATGACAGCTCAAGGAAATGGCTTAACACGTTGAAAATTATCGCAGCCAAATACTCTAAAACGCGTGATGTTGATTCTAAATGTGGAGAGAAAAATCGGAGGACCCGGAGAAAAATCCACGCGACCACGAGGAGAGAGACACGCAGACTCCACATATACAGCAGGCACCGTCAGGGTTGGGATCGAACCCATGACCCTCCTGCATACCAGGCGAGGTAGTTAACATCTCGACGCCGTGAAACTATGTGACAACCGGCTAATTTGAAATCGTTATCACGTAATTAACTTGTATTGGCCAAATCAACCTAAATGTGCCCGGGCCTTGTCAGATCTTGGAAGCTAGTCAGGGCTTTAGCCTAATTAACACTTGGATGGGAGACGATTGGGGCTTGCCAGGTGTTGTAGACGTGAGGCTCTCAGGTGGGCTGGGCTTCGTCAGCGTCGAGTGCTACCCCCTCGTACCCTCCCCGCTCTTCCACCACGCGTTGCCAATCCCTCATTAATCTCAACTGGCTGGACATACCCCCGATGCAGCGGGACCCTGCTGAGAAATGAAGTCTTGAGACTCGGTCAGCCTGTTCCTGGGTTAATCTTCGGCGTCGTACGGATAATGTGAGTTTAGCACGTGGTAGGCTTTCGCAAGCAACATTATCCAAAGGAGTTTTTTTTTTGGGTTAGAGCGCGTGAATATAAATGTGTCATTTAACCCGCCACCACCTGATAGGAAGGTTTGTCACGCAAAGAAAATGTGCAATTCGTCACTCGTTCAACACACCGCTGTGTCGGAGAGTAAACCCACAACCCCAAAACACTTCTATTACGGAGAAGGTGATCGCGCTAAATTCCCGACAGCTCAGACGGTACCAACGAGCAGATATCCGAATCGTACGTTATGCTGCACCTCGTGTAGTGCCATGTCACAGCCGACGCTCTGGAGAGACGGTCTGGCCGAGCTGGGTTTAGCAGGACGGATGTTCCAACAAAAAACGACGGGAAATAACGTCGCCCATCGACAAACGTGCAGTGACAACGGGGAGACTATCAAAAGCTCTCGGAGAATCAATTTTGAAACGACCGCCGATAGAATGAATGGCAGTGGTTCTTTGTGAGCCGTATATCGGCTGCCGGTGGCTCAATGGGATCAAGGGTTAGGGTGTGGTGCGTGATTTAAGAGGCCGCCCGATAGACTTGGGCTCACACCGCCCCCCCCCCTCACCTCACAAAATATCTCTCAGTGCCCCAAATTTCAACACGAATCCGGCGATTCTCCGGATCGGTTCCTCTGGCGGTTAATTGAGAGGTCATCTCAAGAGGTCATCTCGAGAGGACAAGGAGGTTGTGCATTGTCAGTGGAAAGGTCCCTGGATTCTGGGACTCAATGCCCGTCGATGAGATGGATCTCTCTCCTACTCGGACTCCGTCTGCTAGGCTTTGAAGAAACAAGCAGCAGCCTTTGGTTGTCTCACGCAAATCTTCGTTTGAAGGGGGCCGCGTTTACGTTCCTGAGATTATGAACCAGCTGGCCGCCAGGGGTTGGGCACACTGACATAGCCCCCCCCCCCACGCGCCCCCCCCCGCTGCCCCCCCCCGCGCCCCCCCCCCGCTGCCCCCCCCCGCGCCCCCCCCCCCCCACCCCCATTCACTCGGGGCAACCACAGAGCACCGACTCGGATATTTCTTGACTTATCGCTATATCAACAAACAATTACACTCGATTTAAGAACGCACCATTTGAGACAAACAAAGAACAAATACACACACTTAAAATGAATATTATAATATATTTTAAAGGTGCTCTTAAGGGGCCGTGAGGTCAAAGCTGCCTTAAAATGTAAGATTAATTTCGCAAATAGTAAACAAACGGATCACCGCAAGCCAAATTCTTGACGTGCAATGTTCATATAATCAAATCCATGAACTTCAACTATTTTATTTTATTCATTTTGTGTCCTTCAAAGGAAAAGTAATATAAATAGGAGACGTTTCAGGCAATAGCCCTTCTTCATAGCCAAGAGAGAGAAATCGACGTTACATTTCGTTAAGGCGTGATTAACTGAAGTGTTCATTGTCTCCAAAGCCCGCGTCGTTAGTGACAGTGCATACAAATGTTGGTTATAGAATTTGATGAGATATATTCTCATATATATTGCGCGTGTGTGTGCTCTACCAAGAGGAAATATAAAATACATCACCCATTGAGCTTAATAGACTCTCGTGGAGTGTGCTTTGAGCAAGTACCTATTAAAGTCGATTTAATAAATATGCGAGTGGTACAGCCAGCGCCAAGCCAGGCGTATGCTGTTGTTTGCGAGCACCTATTAACCCTGGCATAGCGCATGAGGCGGTGGGTTTGCTAGCACCACGCCCGGCCACCTTTGTCTAACCGGTAATGATGTTCATACACCACACCAGGTACTCGTTTAAGGCTGAGCCGACCTAGGGGAGGCGCAAGACCTGATTAAAATATTCGTCACCGTTGTTGGCTGTGAGCAGGAATCTAACTCGGGTCGCCGGGTTCATAACACAGTGCGCGCCAATCACACTACCACTCCCCACAAAGCCAAAATGTAATCATGAACTAACACATAATCACACACACACACAGGAACACGGTACGCAGACACACAGACACACACGCGAGACTTTGTAACAGCGTTCACAGAGACGTGCAATCTGCCATAATTGACTCGGACACACCAAGCCGAATGCGGCAAACACGACCGCCCCTCTCTCCCAACAATGTTCCTTTCGCCTGCCTCATAATCCATGCATGGACATTAAAGTTTAATCCTGTTTGCCTGTGAAGTTATAAGATATGGCGCGAAACGCAATTCAAACAGAATTACTCAAAACAGCGGCTCATCTACCGTAGGTGGGGGTGGGGGCGATCGAGGCCTGGAGAGGCCACGAACGCTTTCGAGAGAGACAAAAATCCAAACAAACCCGCGCGTGGTGCTTGCGTCAGAGCGTCGAGCCGGCAACAACGCTGACGGCCTCAGGTTCGAACCCGGGCAGACACGGAGTAAAAACGAATTCCACACGACGCCCCGCGGCAGCGCGTCTTTTGTTTTTCACTGCAGAGGTCATCGCTGGGGGTCAGAGGGGTCAATGCCACCAAATCTCCTCCGCCAGGTCCCGCGCGGCCGCTGCGATGGCAGAGACACGGCGGCCACCTCCACGATCATCGCCGACAACATCGTTGTCCGACAATGATGGCGGTGGTGTCGGAGAACGGCCCCCAGAGGAATGGAAACTCATCGCACGGGTGGAGACGCGACATGAACAACAAACAACTGATGACGCCGACGATGAATCGACGAACAGACGCATCGCCACGCAATCTGCAAAACGACGATGGTGACCGGAGCGAAACGGACACCGCCGCGGCCGAACGACGCGCGGCGTCGGAGAGCCGCGGCCCCCGCTTCGACGACCCCCGGGGCCGGCGAGACGCGGCGAGACGCGACACCGCAACGAGACGCCGGGGCGACGTGGCCTCACCTGTACGCATTGGGGAAGATGCGGTCGCAGTCGCGGCACTCGTAGATCTGCCCGGCGTCCGGCGTCGCCGGCGAGATCTCGGGCCTGAGCGAGGCGAGCACCGAGCTGCCGCTGTGGCACGAGAAGCGCTGGTGGTGCCGCAGGTCCTGCTTCGAGCGGAACAGCTCGTCGCACTCGCCGCAGCGGAAGCGCGGCTCGTCTGTTGCACGCGCGCAGACACGCAGGGCGTGCCGTCGAAGTCTTCATCATCGTCACCGTCGTCACGATCATCTCCAGCTATGAGCAGGCCTACCCCAACACCTGCCACTGCCCCTATCACTACCCCAGCTGCTACTACCAATTCCTAATTCTCAGGCCTAACGTCTGCGCCAACCCTCCCCTAACATATAACCAAAGACAAAGCTCCCCCGAATAGCCTTAACAGATTGTTGGGGCACACTTGGGGGTTGGTGGACAACACCACGCCCAGGCGCCTGCCTCTCAAGTAGCGATGTTCCCACACCACACCAGGTACTCGTTTGAAGCTGATTCGACCTATTGGAGGCCCAGGACCGGTTCAAATGATCGTCATTGGTGTTGTCCGTGAGCGGGAATCGAACTCGGGTCGCCGGGTTCGTAGTGCAGCGCGCTAACCACTACACGACCGCTCCCCCCCCCCCTACACACACACCTACATAGATATACCCACATGGGTACTAAAATAGGAAATGTACACACACATACGCTGACACGCACAGAGTTACGTACACACGCGCATACATGTTACACATTGACACAGGCACACACGCGCATACAGTCACGGCTATGTAGACGCACGCACACACGCCCAAGCAGCCCACACACGCACGCCGACACACGCGCACGCGCGCATGCAGTCATACAAGGTTTCAAACCACCGTAGCCTGACATTCAAATAAACGAGCAAGCCCGCGACATGTGTTTCCAGTTAAATCATCGACGGAGGGCAAGTGTCGAGTTGGCAGCAAAGCCCTTCGCTCAAAACGTCCCAACGTCAAACTTCCCGCGAGCTGGAAATCTCCGGCGAGCGCCGCACGAGCGAGCGAGCGCCACCGTGAACGATGCCACGAGGCCGCTTCCCAACGCTCTTGCACAGTCGATGTTTGGCGCAGAGTCCGAACAACGGTTCGTTGTCGCGCACCTGGAAGCTTCTTTAGGGATCGAATAGAAGCTCTCAGCGCGAAACGTTGGACATCATGCCGAACAAGACGCAGGGCAGCTCAATGACAAACACACACACACATCGGATAGCAGCTACAGTAATGAGCCTCAATGTGGACGATTAACATGGCGAGAACCTACGTTATCATTTCACAACCACAGAGCGTCACACATGAATTCAAGTCGGACGCAGATTCAAGCGCACTTCCAAATTCCTGCACAATCCCGCGGCTCATCTCCGCCAATGTAATTGCATTGCTATCGCCGCCATCGCCACCACCACCACCATCATCATCATCATTACCGTGGTGTTTTTTTTAACTTCTCCTTTCACGGGACTGCACGACTACACACGCCGTCGCGGACGAAACGCGACTTGCGGGGTGGGGGGGGGGGTTGGAAACGCGACGCAGGCATCCGTGTAATTGGAGCCGCCGTTTGCGCCTGGCGTCACCAAATTCGGCGGGGGGGGGGGCATTACGAGGCCGCCGCGTTCCCCAGCAAGGAGGGGGGGGGGGGCACGGCGCTGAAGTCGGCGCCAAACCAAACACGGGGAGCCGTGCGCATCGCCCGGCCACTCGCGTCGCACACCGGCGCACAGCTCCTGGGTCGGCCGCTCGTCGTGTTCCCCGGAGTTACACAGAGACCCACAGAGTCACACAGAGACCCACAGACTTTCATAGAGACCCACAGAGTCACACAGAGACCCACAGAGTCACACAGAGACCAGCAGACTTCTATAGAGACCCACGGAGTTACACAGAGACCCACAGAGTCACACAGAGACCCACAGACTTCCATAGAGACCCACGGAGTTACACAGAGACCCACAGTCACACAGAAACCCACAGACTTACATAGAGATCCAAAGACTTACATAGAGACCCACAGATTTATATAGAGACCCACACCTATGAAGGCTGGCATGGCACACGAGGGGGTGGGTGGCTAGCACCACACCCGGCTGCCTTTGTCTCCCACCAGTGTTGGCCATGAGCGGGAATCGAACCCCGGGATGGCCAGGTTCGTAGCGCAACGCGCTAACCGCTACACTACCGCTCCCCACACTGCCAGCACCACCACCAGCACCTGCGGCGGTGGTGGTGGTGGTGGTGGCGGCGGTACCAGCATCTCGTACCATCAAAGTCGGGAGCCATGCTTCCACCAGACTGCGAATCCTCCCTCATGTAGACGAGCAGCTCGTCTCCCGGCTCCACATCCTTGATCACCTTGTAGTACATCTGTGGCGGGGGGGGGGTGGGGGACACGCGGCACAGAATCAACTCCCACCCAACTGCCTGGAGGAGGTGACTGAAGAGGAGGCGGCGTTGACTGAAGAGTGGCCCGGGCTGGGTGGCTCGGAGGCATCAGGCGGCCCGAGTCGGCCCACCGCGCTGCCGAGGCACAGATTTGTAATCTTGGATTGGGTCACCGGTGAGTGAACTGGGTTCTCAAGCGCGAGCAGGTCAATGGGTCCCAGCCCGGACACTGGCGATGAGACAGAAATAACCCTGATCGCACAAAACTTTGGGTTTGCCCTGTAGGTGGCTAAATGACATCGCTGAGAATTTTTTTCATATACTCCAATTTTCGTTTCACTGTCATATGATGGTCTCATACCAGAGCTTGTGAGAAGGCGTGCCCACCCCCTGTTGCGTTAAAAAATAAAGTAATGTTTTTTCTTCCCAAAGTGCTATGAAAGACGTCTTTCAAGGGTCAGTCCTCTGATATGTCGGGGCGACACTGGATCTGTGAGATTTCTGAAGGACTTCTCCATCTCAAGACATAACGGCAATCATATAATAATCGAAATGAGCTGGGGGTATAAAAAAAACGAACAAAACATTACTTTAAAAGGCTGCCACCATAGTAACGTGGAATTTCCACTACCAGAGATTAGCACCACCTCACGGAGATGCATTGCCGTAACACGCAGCGAAGGCTGGCAACAGTCTCGAGCAAACGCCGCAACTTTCCCTACTCCACAAGCAAAGTTCCGCTGCTGCGCAAGCTCGAATTTGTAATCATCGCATAAAGGCCTCAAGGCGAACACATCAACCGACGTGTAAACCACTGGGTTTGCACGCCGAGGCATTACACAACCCCGGCGCCTACTGCGTACGGTGCACTGTGATGCTTGCCGTGATCAGTAGGGGTAGCTATTTCACAAGCGTCTCTGTAGAACAGCGCTGCAAACGCGAACGCCGGGTCGTCCAACGCTGCCGGCACCTTCCGTATCAACTCTCTCGGTACGGCCATGGTCACTTGTGGTTGCTATGCTCCTGTTGACTTTCATGTGTCCTCGGTAGTCTGACATATAAATAATTAATTGGTATTTTTTACGTGCAACAAACGTCATGCGTTTTTACAAACAATTAAGGACGTATTGTTTAAGTAATTTCATGAATTATCGATAACTGAGGATATGTTTTAAAACGCACCAGGTTCTAATTTGAGGCTGAGTCGACCTATGGCAGGCCCAGGACCGGTTCATAAAATTGTCACCGATGTTCACCGTGAGCGGGAATAAAAAAGGGGTGACCGCGTTCGTACGCGGCGTGCTAACCACCGCACGGCCGCTCCGCACAAAGATGGATGGCCTTAGACTTTTTGGGGCAAATTCTGTTCGCGAGCACCTTTGAACGCCGGAATGGCACACGAGGAGGTGGGTGGCCAGCACCACGCGCGGCCGCCTTTGTCTCCCTAGTGGCGATGTTTACACAGCGCACCTGTTCTCATTTGAGGCCGAGTCAACCGAGGGGAGACAGTACCGGTTCAGCAGGTGAAGAACAGGTCTGTCATTCAGTCGCTGTCTTTCCGACAGACCTGTTCTTCACCTGAGGACGGCTGCTTGCGTTGTGGCCGAAACGTCGCGAGAATTGTATGTTATTATGTTTTATTTTTATTATTTCATTATTTCCCTTCTACGTGACTTTAACGAAAGAACCAAGAAGATGAATCCCTGCAGTCACGAAAGCTTTAAATCGAAAGGTGAGCAGCGGTCGCGTGGGTGAGGAGGTGGGTGAGGAGACCAGCGTCCCAGCCGCTCGCACGCTCACCTGCTCCCCGCTCTGCCAGGCTACGAGGTTGGCCTCTTCCCACGCCTGTGCGAAGCGCACATACTTCACCCAGGCTCCCGAGTCGTCCTGGCCCGGGTCTTCGCACAACTTGGCGGGGGGGCTGTTCCCCTGCGAGCCCTGGACAGACACACAAGGCGAGAACAGCGACAGGTCAACACATGTACTGGCCGAAACTCGGAATATTTCTTTAGATTTCAGGAGGAATCCGATGAGCCAACGAAGCTCTTTAACACAGACGTCCTCCAGTAGGGGCATGTCAGCAAGTCACAACAACAACAACAATAACAACAACAGTCTACACCGAGGCCACCTGTGACATACCGCTTTTCCACTGCACAAGCCACAGTGGTGGTTTACAGGGCATGCACCGCCACCGCACGGGTTAGAGGCTTGAGCCAGCGGTGAATGTCCACATTTTCAATGGTGGGTTGGGGGGGGGCAAATCTATCCGTACGACAGCCAATGGCGACCTGCATGAATGGATGTTGAACTTCTTTCGCACCGTACGTAGCCAATCGTGCTAATTGGACTTGCCACGGAGTGGTAATTATTTCATGAACTATGCAGCGATGGCGAGCTGTACACTGGCATCATAATTAATCGCGGCTGTCCTCACGACTAAAAATATCTAAATACACTTCGCAAAAATAAAAAAGGGCACCGCACACTCTCACAGCGGATCGCCACCACTTTATTCCGTTTATAACCGGCGTTATCCCCCAAGTCGTTTAGGCTGTTTGAGTTTAAGTCACGGACACCCTTGTGCCGATGTTATCGTTTCGCGTTTACGACGTGGAAGTTGTTAATGCGACGCTCGCGCTGCGTGCGCGCGCGCGCGTTTATTGCCCGAGCGGGGACCAAGCTTGTCCCCAGGTGAGCGAGTGGATGTTGCACCGCCTCGCGCGCACGCACAGGTAAGGTGAGACCCTGCCACCCGGCAAGCGCTGCCTGTGCATACACACAGCCCCCTTTGTCAATCCACTGCTGGATGAGAACTTAGTTCATGGCGAGGGTGATTCGACCGCACTTCGCCACGATTGTCCCGAGCGGGGCCGGTAGAAGAAGGAGTCGGGGTGTGGAGGGGCGCGGAGCGGGAATGGAATTTGCCGCACTGCCCTCTGCTGCCCACGACGCCCACTGCCCTGGTCTCCTGGGCACGTGGTTCAACCCATCCAGGCACTTCCCAGGCTCACGCCGGCTTCGCTTCTGAGGTCCGTGTGTGAAATACATTTCCGAAGTGGCCATGGTTTTACACTTTTGACTTGACGAATTTCCTTCCCCCCCCCCCAAAAAAGTTCAAATTATTTTATAGAAAACAACAACAACAATAATAACGTGACGTGTTTCTTTGAAATCACCACGAGCCGCGGTCTATCCACTGCTGGGCGACAGCCTCGCAATAACCAACCCTCTGGGTCCACAGTTCATCTGTCTCCTGACCTTGAACAAATCTCATCGCTACATCTCCGCATAAAGACGGTGGCCACTGCATCGCGTGCTTTTAGGTGCACTTATGCGGCCGTCTGGAACGCTCTTCCTTCCGATATTAGGAAGCCACTGGAGCTATGCACTTTGAAGTCATCATCTAGATTGAAAAACTCATTTCTTAATAACTGATTTTTTGTGTTAAGTTTGTTATCCTTCCCCAACACCTCAGATTAGCACGGTTGGCCATGTACGGCACAAAATAAGTTCAACGTACATACACTGGCTATTCCTCTTCTGTCTCCCCTTTGGTCGCCATCCCATCGTTAGCCTTGCCCCAATACCCCTTACTGCGACGAGGTGCTATTCACACCCACCCAAACTGGCCTTGTCAGGGGATGCGATGGGTCCGCTTTGCGCTGTTAATCGATGGAAAACGAAGATGGGACAGTGGTATATTTTTATATTATTTAACTGATCTCAAACCTAAAACAAATTATGTTGGAGATGATGCTGTTGCTGCGTTGGCAGTGGTGCACAAGCACAATTAACAACAACAAACCACTCATTTGTCAATAGCACTGTGTCTTCACAGCTGTGATAGACGAGAATGCCATACTTTATAGTGTGACGAATGCGTTTCGTTTGAGTCGTCAAGTCTAAAACGATCACTTGCGATTATTCCGTTGTCATTCCTTAACTAGCAATGCCTTACACACAGTACGGCAAGATGCAATTACAAATAAATGGTAGCTAAAGTGTTGATAAAGAAAGGCCACATTGTTTATAGAATTTCCTGCCAGTGCACAAGATGAATTCCGAAAATAAACAGTTGTTTAATGAACTAATTGTTCATTATATTGGCGGTTTAAATGAATGGCAACAAAGACTTATGCTAATGATTTAATGCATTGGCATCAAATAAATACGTGAATTTAAATTATTTGTTGAGACTACCTCTTTTGTTTTTATTACTGACTTGCGCGTATTTTTACAAGTATTTTTAATTTGAGGGTCACTGGTTACGAAATGCGTTAAGATCAAGTCTAATAAATCACTCATACTTTATTCGTAATGATTTATTTTCAGATTTATCATCAATAAGTTTAACATCGTTGAGTTGGCAAAAACATTTTTAGTAAAATAATCTCTAGATATTGAGCATGTTGTGAGAAATAATGAGTGGAAGAAGCTACTCGCACACAACACAGCCTGGAGACGACACGTGACGTTAGGCCCTTGCTGAACATCTCTCGTAACAAAATGAGTTATCGGATTCTCGTGAGTGGTAAAATAAAAATAAAGTTTTAACATCAATTCACCTCTTTATAAACCCCATCTGTACATGACACCAAACACAACAAAAATCCAATATCTCTAGGATAACAGTTTTATGGCTAATCGAAGCAAAACGTCTGCAGCCTCTGATATGAACAAAATATTCCAAGAGGATAGGTAGGGATGTGATATCCCCACCTGACACAGGAGAGAAGGGCATTTCCACAATCCTGCAATTCAACACTGGACGCCTGCTCCTCTGCAAAGCTACCGGCTCGGAGCGAATCAACGAAGATCACCACGTCTCAAAACCACACCGTACCCAGTATGCCTCCTCCGATTAAAAATAAATACGTGAATAAATAAGAAAGACGCGTTTTATGAACGTCAATATCACAGTGCAATTTTTCTTACCTGTTACGGGTCTGAATTATTGTGGAAGGGGGAGTTTAATGCGACTTTGAGGTAAAGCAACCTCTTCAAGACGTTGTAGTTTATTTTGTTTCAGTTTTATTTTTATAAATGTAATTTCGTAGCGGTGGTACAACTCAGAGCGCCGTGTCCACCAGGGTGGACATGAAGCAGCAGAAGGAATATATAGCGATATAGAGGTTCAACACCTGCTCGCTTACGCACCTGCAAGCATAGTCTTACGTTGTAAAAAAATTGTACGCACAAATTACATACTATTATGCAATTACACACAAAGTGCTTGCCACAAATGAACCACGATACCTCGCTGAGCTCGTCAAGGAGCAAACACAATCACGAGAACTCCGGTCATCCTCGCTGCGGATTGTGGCCGTCCATTGAACGAAGTCGGTCACCGCATCGCTCGCTTTCAGATGCGCTTCTGCGGCCGTCTGGAACGCACTCTTCCTTCCGATATCAGGGAGCCACTGGAGCTATGTCCTTTTAAATGATCTGGGTTTAAAAATCTGTTTTTTAGAACTGTTTTTTGGTTTCATTTGTTGTCCTTCCCCTGCACCTCCGATTATCACGGGTGACTACGGTACGGTGTGAAAGAACTTCAACATACATCATAGTAATCTTTAAATTGTTAACAGTGGCATATTTGTATTATTATAATAACAGCAACTATACAGGCACTTACGTTAGCGAATCATGTTCCGTTTACTAAACATGCAACTGCTACTCTCCTGCAAACCACTCATTCTGGCAATGATTATTTAGCGAATGTCTGTGGTTAACCCGTTTTGTAATTACGTTGTCTTTGTATTCTCGGCACTTCCGATAAAAAAAAAAACTTTAATTGGTTGCGCTTTTTAATTCAAAATTCGTGCGACTGTCTTAACAATAACAGTGTTAATAGAACGTAAAGGTTGTATCCACATAATTGGCGGAGCCCAGTGAATGTTCATGAACAAGCAGTGATTGTGATGCAGCCACTTCGGACGTGTGCTTTGGTTTAGTTATTGGTTACAACTCTCCCAACGACGGACACCTTTGAGTCCATTTGTTACAAACGAGCCACACAGCCCTGTCTGCGGGCAACCACATGAAACCAACGGAAATGAAGGCACACTTTGTGAACGTAAGAACACGACTGTCAATACACAATTTTCCGCATAAATGTTTTTTGTTGTCATTCCCAAAATTCTGCCGCTTAGCTTTGCAAACAGACGCCGATTCGAAAGAAGAAGAAGAAGAATTTTCTGTTATTTAGTCGGTCGCTCAGTTTATTTTGGGTTAGGCCATTGCGCTCAGCAGCTCTATTTCAATAGCATTTGTATATTAAAACGGTACCTGCACACGCAAGCGATTTTCATCTTACGTTGAAGCAATCACGATGGACTTGAATACAAACCCCACTGATGTGTATGTATGTTGTTCTTTCGCACCGTACGTAGCCAACCGTGATAATCGAAGGTGCGGGGGACGGACAACAAACTAAACGCAAAATCATTTTTAAAAAATCCGTTTTCAACCGAGATTATTTAAAAGCGCACAGCTCCGGTGGCTTTCTAATATCAGACGGTAGAGCGTTCCCAACAGCCCCAGATGCGCACAAGCAAAATATGAGTCAACAATGTTACGAACTATATAATTGTGTTGGGTGGGGGGGTCTAAAACGCGGCAGGTGTTTGAGCTAAAACACTGAAGCACATTGGGGACGAAAACGATGATACGAAGAGGTGAGCGACGGCTATTGTGCCAAATGGATTTTCTAACAACGAAAAGAAGGCGGGCGGGAATTGCGGCTGAACGCTGACGATGTTTTCAACGGGAACAACAACAACAACAAACAAGATCCGTAAACTACACAAAGAAGCACGGACGGACAGATGCGCGCGCGCTTGCAATGTCGCCGAGGCCCGGGGGAAGAGCACGCGCATCAGGCACGCGCATCAGGCACGCGCATCAGGCACGCGCATCAGGCACGCGCGCGTGCA